CCGCAGGGATCTCGGAGGTCGCTCTGTGATATCTGCAGGGAGTATCGGAGTGTGCGCGCCAATGCGCCACGCACACACACACACAGACACACACACGTACACACAGACAGACAGACAGACACACAGACAAGGACAAAGACACACACACACAGACACACACGCGTACACACACACAGACAGACAGACACACACACACAGACAGACAGACACACAGACAAGGACAAAGACACACACACAGACAGACACACACACAGACAGACACACAGACACACACACGTACACACATACAGACAGACAGACAGACACACACAGACAGACACACAGACAAGGACAAAGACACACACAGACACACAGACACACACACGTACACACAGACAGACAGACACACACAGACAGACACACAGACAAGGACAAAGACACACACACAGACACACACACGTACACACACACAGACACACACACAGACAAACACACACACAGACAGACACACACAGACAGACACACAGACAAGGACAAAGACACACACACAGACACACACACGTACACACACACAGACAGACACACGTACACACACACAGACAGACAGACAAGGACAAAGACACACACACAGACAGACAAACAGACACGCAGACAAACAGACACGCAGACAGACACACACACAGACACACATAAACAGATACACACACATACACACACACACAGACACACACACAGACAGACACACAGACAGACACACACAGACAAGGACAAAGACACACACACAAGACAGACAGACACACACAGACAGACACACACAGACAAACAGACACACAGACAGACAAACACACACAGACAGACACAGACACAGACAGACACACACAGACAGACAGACACACACAGACAGACACACACAGACAGACACACACACAGAGGGTAGCGACGCAGCAGCACAGATCTACCGGTAGCCTCAAGGATCGACGCGGGCAACCGGCGGCGCCGCGACAACGCGGTAAAGGATCGTCGTCTTACGCGCGGAAAGGCCACGCAGTTAGTTTAGAGATCCGTTTAGCTCCCTGGTGGGAAGCCAGAATACAGCTTTCAACAAAAACGTCTTCTCCACCTCACGGCTTTCGTACGGAGATGAAACGATGCAGACGCGTGCACAGGCACTTCATTAGGAAGATTGGGGAGGAGTGGGGGGGGGCTTCAAGCCCTAATGAGTGGCCGCAGACTTGTAATTAGCTCAACGAGCTGTTAATGTGCAAAGCTTCAGCAAAGTGTAGAGGTTGGAAGGCAACTGTGAAATTAATTTGCTTCATTATGGACATGAAATAATCTATATGTCTAGAATATATATTTATATACACGCGCGCACGCAGCCTTACGGGGCCCATTCTTTCGATGAAGGTCCTACTTGGTGATGCTAGTCAAATTTATGTCGAGGGGAATTTTGCACGTGCTAAGAAGCTGACGAAGCAGGAGAACCGGCGTGCGTACGGGGAGAATAACTCTAAAATCCGGACGGATAGATCGGTAACCTACTTTGTGTACTGCCTTCAAAGCGTGCGCCTCACAGCCACCCCGAGGCTGCGAGTCTGACGAGCGTCAAGATCCTACGCGCGATCCACCAAGCCCCACGCCGAGTGTGTGCCGGCACGCCCGGCTAAAACATCGTCCGTCGAGAGTCGCATCGCAATCGTTCGATTCCATGGCGAGCAAGTTAGCCGCTTTGTTTTTCGACGGAACAACTTTCATTTAAAAAAAAACGCACCTTTATTTTCCGAGCGTTATTTTACTGGTCATGAACCGCGCCTATTGTTCTTTGGGTCGTTCTGTCACGCCGCGTGCCCCGCGCTCCACGATGTCTAACGCCACGCACTGTGACGTCATCGCGTGCGCCCGCCAGCGCAGCCCACCGTCAGAACGATCACCAGACGGTGATGGCCGGCGCCAGGCCGGGTCCTCCACAACAGCCGCAGCGGCCAGGCCACAGGCCCGACGGCAGCAGTGACGCGCGTTTACATCACGCGGCTGACGCGCCTTGCGCGAAAAGGTTTGTTCCCCGAAAAAATCCTCCGGTACAATCAATCCCATGAATATGTACACGTACAATCCATACGGCTAATGTTTACCTACAGAGTGTGAATGTGCAATAAATTAGACAACCCAGGTTCGGGGAATGAGCTGCATCCAACACGTTGTTCCGCTCTCTAACGGGCGCCTTCCTTTGTACAATTTGGGGAACAATGTAGGTACGGGGGCGATTCCATGTTATGGCGCTTTAGAAATTCACACTGATATCATTAGGATTCTCCAGCAGGTTCGATTGTTTGGATAAATTCAGGCCAAATTTCGACGCGAATCGATCGATACCCTAATTTGAAAGCGGCGACGATAATCTAAGCAAGTGAAGCGGCCGCTGTGGGGTGAACCACGCACAGCCGAGTGCGGAGGGTGGCGAGTTTCTTGGCACCGTCCATCATCTCTCGCCGGCAACCAGCAGGATGACAGCGAGAGGGCGGAGGCGGTGGCCTCGGTTGGGGACGCCGTGGACGTAGCTGCACAGAGAGCCGCCCACGGCTGGCGGCCCGCTGCGTGCGCCGCACGGCTCTCGTCGGGCCGCCCCCGGCCCCGCCGCGCGTGGCGCCATCTCTGCGGACGGCGCTCTCGCTGGGTCGCGGGCAAACTCGCGGGGGAACCAAAACGTGAACGACCCGTGTAGGATGCCGAAGGATCACCGCGGCTCCAGATGCAAGCGAGGCTACCGTCCGTGGCGGCGGCGGACTTGCACGGCGCACGATGGTGGGGTCTCGATGGCGGACGTACATAGAGAGGCTGTTCGATAGCGAGGATCGCGCTCGCTCGCGAGACAAAATGCGACGCGCGCCAGGGCACAGGGCAAAGTCACATTGCGAGGCAGGAGGCCGCGTGCAGGAGGACTGAAGCTGTGAGATGGTGGAGCTGAAGTCTACAGAGCAGAGGGGCTACAGATGTCGGCATGAAGAACATACGCGGTCCAGTCTCAACTAAACTATTTGTATTTTACTAGGCAAGGCCCACTGAGCTATGCAGCTCTTTGTAAGAAGTGACCTGGCCACACGTGACAGCTCAACGAAGTGGCTTATCGTATGGAAATGTATAGCAGCCAAATACTGTAAACTGATGTTGATTATAAATGTGGAGGGAAAAACCGGAGGACCTGGAGAAAAATCCTCACGACCACGGGGAGAAGATGCAAACTCCAAATATACAGCAGGCATCCGGGTCGGGATTGAACCCACGACCTCCTGTATACTTGGCGAGGTAGTTAACATCTTGCCACCGTGGCGCCCTAACGTTCTACAGACACGCGAAGCCATGGGGTCATGGTTAGAGATGTGAATTAGAATGGAAGTGTTAGCAATGAAGGAAACTGAGAATGACCCAAAGTATGAAAATTATCTATTAATATCATTTAGTTTCAGACTATGCTTCAAAAGCATGTTGTTTTGAATCATGATGAATTGCTAAAGTAAATGAATAAACTGTCACATTTTAAGAACTAGAAGTAGTAAAAACCCTGTCCTATTATTCCAAAGAGTAACCCGTTATATGTTAAAATTGTATTTGTCACGAATCAAACTGGCCACTTTGTAAATGACATACGATGACTAATTTATAAAGACACATCCTTATTTGTATTTCACTCTGGACTAACGAACCTATGGTATTTTATTTATATACACAGGGAGGAGTGGTGGGACAATGGTTAGCGTTAAACCCTGCAACGCAAGTTTGATTAGCGGCCAGTGCTAACGGCAGTGGCGAGCGATATCTGCAGCTTCTCCCGAGACTCTCTCTTCACCGACATGCACTGACCAGCGTGGTCAAACACCCCCCGCGACCAACACGCAGTGGCGAGTGGGGTCGCGACCTATTCCACAGACCAAACCCGCATATATTTCTCAGTCAGTCTTAAGTCTATCAAAACTGTGCCGTTTACTGCGATACATTTCAACACAATACTGGAACCAGATCTCAGTGCAAATGAATTCTTGACACAGAAGCCAATTCCCAGACAGAAGCCAATTGCAGACAGGCGGTAACCCCAGTGATGAGGCCTGGTGTATTGATTAATGGCTGCAAATGATTATGAATACGCAGAAAGGTGATCACGTGATTGAATTCTGCTGCTCATCTTCAGCAGTGGTAGTCGTGCTATGATGGGAAAAATAAGCCAGACGATAACGATGGTAAATGGCATCTTCAGTATACTGCACTTGACTGGGTGTGTAAGAAATTAGTGTCGAAAGCATTTTCTGAACTCATTATTCCCCATGAAAACGTAAAAGACTGGGGGCTAAGTTTAGCCTCGGCCTGGTCACCAGGGACCCCACAAACAAAATAATTATTATAATAATTAGACAAATTGTAGCATTTACAAAAATTCCACCTCGCACAACTTTAGTGAGATAATTCACGAATGCGCTGCATGCCTGACATGGAACAATCCCTTCTGAATAGACCACAATCACCCGAATGTGGCTTGCGACACTCAATAATACGCCGTTACTCCAAGGATCAGTATTACATTAAGTAACCCATATGAGCGGTAATCTCAGCTTTATAACTTAAAACACAATAGTGACATTATTATGCCAAGATTAGCCGCGAATTATTCAATAAACAACCCCCATCCCACACCCCCCTTCGTCCACGACAAACAAATACAACAGCCGTCTTAGCGCTGCAACTGAACAAGAGAAAGAGCGAGGAGAGGTAGAGGTGGGAGCGAGCGACGTGAGACTGGGACTCGAGGCGCGCACGAGAGAGACGCGGTAAGCCAAGAGGTTGTGAATTGGAAGCGCGGGAAGGAGGTCGCTAGCGGTGGCGCTAAGTCGAGGCGCAGCTCTCGAAACGTGACTCATCCCTGGGCGCAGTCCGCGCCTTTGTCTCACCGCGCCGCGTGGGGTTTCTGAGTTGGCAGCGATGTGGGAGTGGGGGGGGGGGGGGTAGAGGAGCGGTGGGGGTTTGCTACTTACATCAAACAACCTTTCTATGTACATCTCCTCATTGACCTTGTCGCGCAGAATGTCCTGGTTCTGGCGCACGAACGTGATGTACGAGTCGGAGAGGTCCATGCCCGGCTTCTGTGGGCAGCAGTCGCACGCCGGTCAGCGGTGGTGGTAGTGGCGGTGGCGACGGTGGTGGCGATGGTCGTGGCAATGGTTGCGGTGGTGGTGGTGGTGGTGGCAGTATGTTGTGGTTGGTGGTTGTGGTGGGAGTTGGTGCTGAGTACACGTGGCGGCAGCGGTGTCAGCGCTAAAATACGATGAGCACAGTACAGTTTGCTCCATGCTAGAATGCCACGCACATTCACGTAAATACCTGGCCACAATTAAACGGTTTCCAGGTACAAACCAAAACTTACATTAATTCTAGATTTGAATACAAAACTTACATTTTGAGAATAATCCAGAGTTAAATGACAAAATAATTACTTTTAAGCCCCTTAAATTATATTATGGCTCTTATCTCGTTAAGCAAAGCACATTGAATATTAATGATAGGGTTGCTTTATATTCATGAAATGTTATGTTCAGCACAAGTGTGTGGCGTGTGCGAGTCATCATCATCATTATCATCATCGTTATTACATCGAGGTGCGCGTGTGTGAGTGCATTTTAATACAATGACGGTTTTAACTATTTACGTTCAGACACATCGGCCTTACTTACTGGAACATCCACATATTTGGAGGCAGCCTTCATCTTCACGGACGGAGTGCGGGCAGGGAAGGAGAGAACAGTTTGTCGTCAATCGGCGCGGCGCGCACCGCGGTGCCGTACGGTCTCGCCGGGACCGGCGCTGCCGAGGTGCTCCTCGTGGGCACCCTGGTGCCGCACGGGCACCGCGGCAGCGGCGACCTTCGGCAGTGCCACGAGCTCGTCGTGCGGTGTGAAGAGCCGCGGTTATCGTAATGTCCGTTGCGCAAAACATCGCGATCGTCATTGCTCAATTTGTTTTTCGGAAATATCCTATTTTGTTTTAAAGTGAATTGCTTACCTGTCTTATACTTTCCACTCCTATGGTGTGTTTCTATTATTTGTTACAACCTTCTTACCCACCCCTGCTTGACATCTGTGAAAAAGAGATTTATAGCTTATTGGATTCCTCCACTATAAATATTCAGATTCTTCTGAAATATTCTAATTCTGGACAAAACACAGTGTGGTATGTACGCAATGGCATATTCACCCATCGCTAGCTGTAATTCGTTAAACCAGCTCTCTGCAAAATGTTTTTCGGGGGAATTGACGGAATGGCGATGAAACGCAGCCACCCTTTTCGCAGTTTGTAGAATTATTTGACTTGCTTGGTGCATAACCGACAGCGTGTGCATCATAAGCGCTATGGACCACAATCACTAGAAAGGCTCATGGCAGGCTTGCGTTGAGTGCAGTTGAGCAACCTCTCAGCAATCTTAATTTGTAGCGTAGCAAAGCACAAAAACAAGAAGCCGAAAAATGCGAAAAGACGTTTACAAAGTTACGGGAAAGCGATATCGCGATGACGTAAACATCGCGAGATCCGACATCATCTCGTGAGTCATTATACCGACATCATCTCGTGAGTCATTATACCGTGGCCACTCCTCGCAGCAGCGCACTGCGCGCTTGGATCCTTGAGCCGGATCCGGTTTGGCACGAAACCCAGGAGGGAGACTGAGTGATCGCGGCCTCAAACCGCAGCTCCGTCTCCCTCACCGCTCCCCCCCCAACGCCCCACGAAAATATAAGAGACACCGAGCGGAGGGACCGCGGCGCGCCACGCGAGGGGTCGGCGTTCGTGTCGCGAGCGGCGAGGGGGCGGGGGGGGCGAGGGGGGCGGGGGGGGGGGCGGCCTTACTGTGAAGGAGAGGAACGACGAGAAGAGCGTCCCCTCGTCGTAGCGGCCGAGCTTGGAGAGGACGCCCTCCAGCACCGTCACAAACTGCACGCGCGCAACAAACGCAACGTGCTAGAGGCACATTTTTATATTTTACCAGGTGAGGCCCACCGAGCTATGTAGCTCTTTTTTCAGAAGCGACCTGGCCATTGCAAATGATAACTCAACGAAGTGGCTCATCATCACGTGGAAACTTATAGCAGTGGCCAAATATTCTAAACGCATGTTTCTAAACGTGGAGGGAAAAACCGGAGGACCCGGAGAAAAATCCACGGAGAGAAAGACACGCAAACTCCAAACATACAAGCGGCAGGGTTAGGATCGAATCCACGACCTCCTGTGTACCAGGCGAGGGAGTTAACATCTCCTAGCCACCGTGGCACCCTCGTGTCGCCTTCTCAGAACGTCGGGGCAAGTGCCGTCAGCGAGCACTGATGTAGACGGGAACGGCGCACGGCGGCGTGGCGTGGCCGGTACCGATGCTTTACAAATTGTGCACAGCAACAACAAAAACAACCGACATTCACCACTTAGTGACAGTGGCGTCAGTATGGCGCTTGTGCCAGGCTAGGTGCACTTTGTAGTGTCGAAGGCTTCCTGGCAGGAGGCCCAGCAGCTATGACTGAGATGACTGGCATCTCACAGACAAATGTCCCCCGTATAGCCTCAACAGACTGTTTGGGGCAAGTGCTGTTCGCGAGCACCTCTCATGCACACACGTACGCACGCACGAGGTGCCTAACTCACAGGGGTGACGTGAGCGAGCTGTCGCTCTTTAAACATTGTAGAGCTGCTGGTTTCAGCCCGGTGGCAGCCCTAGTTAACACTGCTGGTGTATTAAACATAAAATAGGGCACGTCTGCTTCACAACGGACGGTACGGTTCCCGTGACGTTCTAAGGAATAAGCAGGCCACGTGTGCCGGTGTCACGGTTTCGAATTTGCGATTTTTTTTAATAAAGTAACTCTCAAATGACCTGATTGGGTTAATGGACGAGTGTGAAAATATTACCATCTTCACCTGAAAACAATCGATATGCCCCCCTTAAGCGCGACTGCGGTGTCCCAACATATTTGCAGTACTTTTTATGGTCGCTCATTTGTCTCGCATCCTGCATGTGAGTCTCTACCGCAATCACAAGAGGTGCTCATTCTGTTTTCACGTTATTTTATCGACAGGCCGTATTGGTTTCTTTTTAAGCCAGGGACATTTGTAAATGTTTAACAAACGCAACTGTGATGTATTATTGTCCATTACTATTTGTAAATCGCGACGGTGGGCCACTGTATTAAGCAGTTAATCCACACTTATCCATGCAATTATTTGTCTACAGGAATAACGGTGAATTTGTCTGTGTATAAAAAAAAAAATCTGAGTTCTTCATTAAAAAAATTGGCAAAATATCGCACGCAGAACTTTTTTCCAAACAGTTTCGAAGTTTCACCGCAGCTTTTCTGGGTAAAGAATTTGAAATAATTACGTAATATATATTAATATGGCAATGTGACACACGAGGACGTAATTTATCCTGCGTATGTCAATGTTACAATACTGCCACTAAACAGAAGGGATGTGTGCATGGAGAGTCTAAATACTGCCAGAGCCTTCCACTGGCCGATGGTCACTGCTCCAAGAGTAGTGGTAGTGAACATTCATGGCAGTCTGAAGCTGGGTCAGCACACCGATGAGGCCTTATGAGGGCGAAACCCACTTGGGTCTCCCATGCTGTTGACTGCCTTGAGCCTTGTTCGGAGGGCCCGGTAGCATACATAATATGTCTTTACAATGTGTGTGTGTGTGTGGCTGCCTGTGGGGTAATGCTGTATATTGCATGCAAACACATGCACGATAATATAATATATGATAATAGACAACTTGAATTCAATGAGGTGTTGGCGCTGGCGTTAATGGTGAGAGGCAGACAGGGGTAAACTATGCCGTACACTACTAGGCTTCAACAATTCAGAGAACAAAATCGATTTTACACTTACAAAATATGCATTAAATTGCATGCGTAGGAAGCCGTTATTTACAATTTGTATATTTTTACTGCGTATGGAAGTGTTCCAATTTGCCTCATGGAATTATTAAGAGCAGAGTAAGAAAACAAATGTTTTTAATCAATAGTCGGGACCGAATCTGGAAAGCTCATCGAATCGCAGGCCGCGAGAATTATGACGCGTCTACCCAACGTTCCTACCTTGCCGATCATCATCGCGATCATCTCCTTGACGGTGTCTTCGATGAGCTCGTCGATCTTCGTGTGGTACTGGTTCTGTAACACAGGCGGGCAGCGGCAAAGGGAGTCTCGGCCAAACGGCCCGGGCTCAGGGCGACCGCCGCGGTTCACACGGCCCGCCGCGGTTGTTTTGCGTCACGGCCGGAGCCAGGAGACGTTGGTGGCGAGCCGAAATCAGCTCCCGAAGGAGCCTTGGCCGAGCAGCACGAGGTGCAGCCCCCCCCGTGTCTTGCAGAGTGCACACTTCACAAATGTACGGCGTCGTTCCGTGCCCCAGTGTGAGAGCCTGTTGTCCATGAAAATGATGTTCAACAAATGTCCCCCTTTAGGGTGAACTTACATTTGTGTTTGGCCTTTTGTAATTGTCCATAATCGGACGATTGCGATAGTCGTCCTCTCAGTGTGATCAAAGTTTAAATGCTGTTTTTTTCCCTTAAACTGTGAACAATTAGTCATACACAAGGGGATCATCATCGCGATCACTTCAGCATTTGTTTCGTGCTGTGGTTGTCCCACCTGATGACGGACGCTTGTGTTGCGCCCGAAACGTCGTGATTTATTATTCTATTTCTATAATTATTTCTATCATTTTATAATTTATTATGCATTTTTATTTTTACCTACGTGACTTTACCGAAAAAAACCTAAGAGTATACACAAGGGGATTCAAGAAATGTGTTTAATAATTGAACGCATCTCTCGGAACATTTAAAAATCAAGGAGCCAATTTCGGCCTTTACATTCGTCTTTTCTGTAATGTTTTGGTACATTTTCTCGTGGTCATTCTGTACTAAGCTTGCTTTTTTGTCGTTGACACATCTGCAGGAATATAAAGTACGAGCGCTATTCTTACCTGTATACTTTTATATAGATTTTAGATTACTCTCGCTTATCCGTGGGCGAGCTGTCCAGATCGCAGCTTCAGCGTGCTCGACGGGGAAGGGGGGTTCTGGTTTATTGGCTGTTCCTCACCCGTCGTGGGTCCGTGACACAGCGGACAGCTGACCGCAAACATCCACACACCGATTACTTTAGACCCGGACGGCACAACGCGCGTGTTGACCCGCGTTCTACGCAGGTTAAGACTCAAGCACGTCTCGTGTAATCTGTGATTTTAATATTTTTTATAAAAAAAATTCCGGACCACTCCTTCCACCCATCACGCCGGATAATCGACTGTGATGCACTTGTACGCACGCACGATACGTCAAGTACAATTTCCGTTTTCATCATTATCCGTTTTCAACACTTACCCAATCCTTTGCAAACTTGCTCAGGAGGTCAACATGGAATGCACAAAATAACATAGACAAAAAACAAAGGCGGAATGTGAAACAAAAACGAACACGGAAGGCACGACGGACAAACGGTGGCGGAGCGAAAGCAACGGAATCACTGAAAGACAACGCAAAACGAAACCCGGGCGATGGACCAACACGGCAAACGAAAAAACAAACACCAGAGAAGTGGCGTGTCCCATTTGTTATCGATGATCAATAAAGCTAGCAAGTGAACGAGGCGGCAGGGTGCTCGCCACCGCACGTTCACTTCTCCGACAGCACACCTTAACCCGTCGCGGCGCAGCGTTCGTCTCAAATCATCTCATCACCTTGAAAGAGCGTCGCCACGCGTCGTCACGCGTCGCCACGCGTCGCCACGCGTCGTCACGCGTCGTCACGCGTCGCCACGCGTCTGCCTCCTTGCCGAGCAAGGGTTGCCTGCTTGTGCACGTGAGGAGTAGGCACAGGTACGTACGCCAACTTTTGTCACCCCACTCCCTGGATGAGGACCTCCCCACGCCGCGCGACTCGCGAGGGCTATCCGACCGTACCTCGCCACGCTGGTCAGTGCGGGTTGGTGAAGGCTGCAAGCCTTGGCGTGGGAGCATAGAAGTACAATACAACAAGGGACCTTGTTGCACTGGCCTCCGCTGTCCACAACGTAGCTTCGTAGCTGCCTCTGACGACCGGTTCGGGTGCATGGGGGGGTCACCCGTCCAAGTAGTGTCCAGGTTTTACCCGGCTTAGCTTTAGGGATCCGAAGATATCGAGGGCATTCCGGGTGATTGGGTCAAACGGCAAATAGCGATGCACACGTAGAACCACGCGTGTGTGACAATCGATGATTTGCACTTGATGCAAATCACAAACGTGACGCGAATGTTACGCTTGTGACGATGGCGTGAACAGAACCGTGCCGATGAAACGTCACACACGAGGCGGAGAAGACGGGACACACACAGAGCGAACCGATTCCTGGATGGAATCACGGAATTCCCTTGTGACGAGTCACAGAATCCCGCGGAGTGAAACGTGATCAGTCCCCAACTGTTACACATCTTACCTTCTCTATGCCACCTGCTAATTTCCTAAATCGCTATCTTATAAGATAGCATTAACATCGGTTATTTGAACAATCTGGCTACCAATAATCGTATTTTGCTAAGTTCAATACGACGAAGTACAAGTGTTTCTTTTAAAAAAAATTAATTGTTAATATTCATTATAATACAACACTACATCTTTTCATTAATGTGATAATGACCCCATTGTTGTTATTTTCGATAGCAATGCACTTGCAAATGGACAAGCTAAAGATACGTTTACGTAGCGCATTACATGTCCTTTTATCTGGCATTACTCATAACCCTTAATACTCGTCCTGGTGACTAATTATGTTGGTGGATAATTGTTCCGTTGGTGATGCTGCTGCTGCATTGGCAGCGGTGCACAAGCACATTCATCAACTAACACTGTGGCATTAAAAGGAAAACAATATACAATTGGTGACGTTTTGGGCAATGGGTCTCCTTCATAACGCAGATTTCTCGTGGCCGTTAATACCCCGACGTGGTCAAGAGCTCCTTCGGATAAATGACAAGGGCTCAGTTATTAGACCGATGCTCAAAGCGAGCGGCAATTCACGTAATGAATCGACACTTAAGAGCGCACGGACGCCACCTGAGGCGTTAACCCCGATGTCACGGGTAACACGCCACTGTCAGCGTTAACACCTGGTCTGAGTGACGCACCGTGGTGCAGGTTAACACCTGGCCTGAGTGACGCAGCGTGGTGCAGGTTAACATCTGGTCTGAGTGACTCACCGTGGTGCAGGTTAACATCTGGTCTGAGTGACACACCGTGGTGCAGGTTAACACCTGGTCTGAGTGACTCGCCGTGGTGCAGGTTAACACCTGGCCTGAGTGACTCGCCGTGGTGCAGGTTAACACCTGGTCTGAGTGACTCAGCGTGGTGCAGGTTAACACCTGGTCTGAGTGACTCGCCGTGGTGCAGGTTAACACCTGGTCTGAGTGACTCAGCGTGGTGCAGGTTATCACCTGGTCTGAGTGACTTGCCGTGGTGCAGGTTAACACCTGGCCTGAGTGACGCACTGTGGTGCAGGTTAACACCTGGTCTGAGTGACTCACTGTGGTGCAGGTTAACACCTGGTCTGAGTGACGCACCGTGGTGCAGGTTAACACCTGGTCTGAGTGACTCACCGTGGTGCAGGTTAACACCTGGTCTGAGTGACTCACTGTGGTGCAGGTTAACACCTGGCCTGAGTGACTCAGCGTGGTGTAGGTTAACACCTGGTCTGAGTGACGCACCGCTGTGCAGGTTAACACCTGGCCTGAGTGACTCGCCGTGGTGCAGGTTAACACCTGGTCTGAGTGACTCACTGTGGTGCAGGTTAACATCTGGTCTGAGTGACTCAGCGTGGTGCAGGTTAACACCTGGCCTGAGTGACGCACCGTGGTGCAGGTTAACACCTGGTCTGAGTGACTCACCGTGGTGCAGGTTAACACCTGGTCTGAGTGATGCGCCGCTGTGCTGGTTAATTCCTCCCGATGCTTTGCACCCTCCCACAAGAAAAGTCAATTGCTCTGTTTCCGCGTGAGCAGACACCACTTGCCTGGCAATGGGACGCCCGTGGATCGGAGTCATTGTTCCCAGGATTAATAAGAGCTAACACAAACAAGGAAAACATCATACCACACTTCCTTATCGCTGAAGAATTATACGGGATACTTTTTTGGGGAAAGGACCGAATAAACACATTTGCTCGCAACATGAGCCCGATATATTTCGAGTATTTCAAGCACAACGATGAAAGTGGTAAATTAATGGACCATTACCATTGGCAGTTCCTCAATATGTATTTGGACGTAACAAGAAAAACAATCGTGCACGCGCACGGATACTCTCGTCAAGTATTTATCTTTATGCATTTCATCAGCAGCATGGATGCTGCTGATGGGTAACTATCAGGCCAAAATGCATTTGCATATTTGCAAACAGTCCGGTTTACGTCAGTTTGTGTCTGTGAGTTCTCGGACACCCCTTAACGAATTTGGCCGATTTTAAATTGGGTCAGCCTGTAAGGGCAACCAAACTTGACACTCGACTCGAGCCCACGTTTGATCGCGTTTGCACGCGCCACGCTGCTCCCTCGTCACAGGCGGAGAGGGCTGGCGTGCAACCGCTCTCGGCCTTAGCTGGTAGCATTAACAAGGAAACATCTCTAGCGGTGTCGGTCCATGCCAGATGGGGCGAGAGCGGTCAGTCGCCACTGCGGTTCGCCAACCGCGATCCACGCTCGGCGGCACGACGGCGTGACTCGCGAGATCCGACTAATATACGTACACGCGCGCAAAAAACAACGGGCCACTTAAATAGCAGGGCAGCGGGCTGGGCTCATGCTGGATTGTGTGTTCACAACACGTGCACCGCGGTCCCCCAACTCTCTCCGTCTCGGCCCGCTCCCGCCGCGCCCCCGCTAACGAGGAGCGGCGCGTGACCACGCAAAGGCAGCGCCGATCATCGCGGCGCAAACGAGCGGGGGGGGGGGGGTCGTTGCGTGCCCGCGCGGCGTCGCGTGCCCATTAGGCGCTGATTGGTGTAACGAAGCGCGGAGCACACATCCCAGCCAGCGCTCGCTCGCGTCGTTTGTGAATCTTTTGCACGAGGCGAGCGCTCGGGAGGGCACCGGCGCACGGCGACTTCGGAGGCGTCTCTTGGCGGCGCCGCGTGACCGCCGGCACGACGCTTTGACAGAAATGAGATGTTCGGACGGTAACGACAATTTGCGCGGGAGATTTAGTTTTTGCTTTGTTTTCGTACATTTGTCTCCCCCGATGGGCGCCCGCGTTAACTAAAGCGAAACGTCGCGTCGGATAACTCTTCATATCGAGAGCCTTTCAGAATGCTCGTGCTGCGACCGCTCGTTACAATAACGCCGCACCGCCGCGGATTCGGCACGTTCGGCAAACGGACGCGCGGCACGTAACGCGGGCAGATTGCCTTGCTTGCGCACGTATTTGTGGGTCCACGTGTGTGCGTGCGCGCGTGTATATTTGTGCGTACAGTTCACGCATGTGTAATTGAGTTTGTATGAACCTGTGTGAGTGTGCATGTGCGCACGTAGGCAGTTTGACCTCGTGGCTTTTAATAGGGCCTTGCTAACAGCACTTGCCCCCATGCTTTGAACAGTGGATCATTACATATTTGCATGTGTGTCTGCATGTATACGTGCACGCATGCATGAGCGGGTGAGTGTGGTTGCACACATATGGGGAGCGGGAGTGCAGCGGATAGCGACCTGCGCTACAAACCTGGTGACCGTAGTTCGATTCCCGCTCACAGCCAACACCAATGACCATTATGGGACCTCCTTTGCCAGTGTTAGACCAGAGGACGCCAAAAGGCTAACACCGTTTGAGACTAGGCTCGAAATCAGTTTCAAAGACAATGCATATACTATCAGAGTATGTTTTTTGTTTGCATTCTGACCACAAGTATTGTGGTTAATGCAGACATGATTCCTTGTAAAAGGTTTCAGTTTGGTATTTTAAACATCTTGACACCTGTTTTGTTGCCAGAAAAAATCGGAAAGCCTGTTCTCACCAATGACCATTGTTTAAACCGGTTCTGTCTGGGCCTCTCCTAGGTCGACTCAGCCTCAATTGAGTACCTGGTACAATGTGTGAACATCGCCACCAGGGAGACTAAGGCAGCCACGCATGGTGCTGGCCACCCACCCCCCTCGTGTGCCGTGCCGGCCTTCATAGGTGTTCGCAAACAGCACTTGTCTTTTTGTGTGCGCACACATGTGTGTGTGTGCACCGTGTGTGTGTGTGTTTGGGCAGCGCTGCATTTTTGTCAGTGCACTGCGGCGCATTTACAAAACCGCATTACTATATCGGCCACGAAGCGGAACGTGGGCAAACAATTCACTCAAAAAGGGGGCGACGCGGGTACCAGCGTGGACACCCCCAATCTGACCCCCCAACCCACACTGACGAGCGTGGTCATGTACCGGTAGATAACCCCGGCGACGCGCACGGTGCCGGGAGGACCCCTCGCCGTCCGGCGGTGGATCGGCGCGGGGGCCCGGCAGGTGGGGGGGGCGGCCGGGGGGCCTCACCTCCTGGCCGATCTCCATGTGGCACAGCTTCACCGACTGCTTCTTGGCGTCCACCAGCACGTTGAACATGGTGCAGATGGACTGCGTCACGCGGAAGTCCGTCGAGCGGCTCATCTTCTGCAGCTTCGCCTCGAACGCCGCCCGCGTCCTTCGCGGAGGAGAAGCACGGAACAGCGCGAGCACGGTGCGGTCGAGAGCGTGGATCGTAATGGGGGCGATGTTTGCGGCGATACTGCAATGTGTAGTACGATATATACGATACACGCCGGTCGTATGGTACATGTTTTAAGATATTGTCATTATCATTGCGATTATAGTTGTTCATTTTGTTCTTAGATGTTTTATTTCCTAGAAAAAAGAATACGTACGAAATCACAAACTTGATTATGAAAGTTGAAAATAAACGGCTGTTATCCAATCGCGTAGTGTCATGATAAGGTGTCTTTCGTGGCAACTGACGGTATTGCAATTATACGACGTCGTCACGTTCCTAGTTCGTCTGGTCGACTGAGTTCTCAACACGGGGTGGAGAAGTCAACGAGTGAAGTTCATGGCAACAGCAAACCACGGTGGTAGAATAGACGAGTGACGGGGAGGCGACCGACGGACGGCGAGCGAGCGACTGGAGCGACGTTACGCACCTCTTGACGGACGACTCGATCATGTCACTGGCCATGAGTTTGAGCCTCTGCTCCAGGTGTTTGGCGAACTCCTCCTCGGGCCAGTGCAGGTCCCCGATGAACGTCTGGAGGGCGTCCAGCTTCCAGAAGAGGTCCTCGGATGTGGCCGAGCCATTGCTACGCCAAGAGCAGCAGACGCACGGCGCGGGATGACACTCAGGCGGGAAAAGGTCGCGCGCGTGCGCCAAGGTGCTACGAGGATCACGTTGGGGGGGGGGGTGTGGACGCTTGCGCCCGCCCATTTTAACTGTTTACAGGCCAAGGGTCGGAGGGTCGTCGACACGATATTTACGGGGCTCGTATTACGTTGACTAAAGGACGGTTAAGTAATCGAGACCATAGCACTAACAAGTGCGGTAAATCAATAACCAGACATTGTACCTCGAGTCGAACGAACCTCACGCGCAGTCTGCATCGTGGGCAGCTGACTCGAATTGACTCAAGCGCCCTCCAGTTAAGCCAGATTTCTCCCAGAATTCAGTTTAATAGACAGCTAGACTAAATGGCATTTGTATGATTGTCTAAGTTAGTCGAGTAATGAAGTGAGTAGGGCAGGTCTCGGCCAGGGAAAAGTATATTAATACCGGGCCAGGTTTCTCAGGTGTAATTCAGGCCAGCCCGAGAAGGGAAATCCTCCCGGGATAATTTAGGTGTCAATCAGATCTGTAAATGACGTGAAAAACCCATCACAGCACAACCATAGTGCAGGTCGGAAAGCCATAAGTTTCAAACAGCATAAGGAAACCTGTAAATAGCCCTCAGGCTTTGTGCACTATGCAAAAACCATCCGAGTTTACTGAAAAAATGCATTGTGGACCTCGTGTCTTAGATCACCATGAAAGTAAAATGTAGAAAATAGATTTAGATGGTGACTTGCGGCAAGAGGACCACAATGCACTTCTCCAGGAAATGCCGATGGGTTTTCTTGTAGATAAGGCCGAGTGCTTATCACACGTTGTTTTTTGCGTGTTGTTTGAAACTTACGACAATTTAGGCCCGAATTGGGAGCCAACATGTAAATGGTGGGAGTGGGGTGGTGGTGGCGGGCAACCCATGTCCGTCCGTGAGTTCCGCAGTTCACGGAGTGGAGGCAGTTTGCGTGGTTACTGTTGTCTGCTAAAATATTCATGGCCTTCTCCACATGCTTAGCCTGCTCTATTGTAATAATAGATACCAGCCACAAGTTTGAGATTTTGTGACAAAGTAGTTCAAATTGAGCAATGTGGCGATAGAGGTGCAAGTGTGCACGCATATAACCTGAATATGTCAGCGTTGTTTTATATAAATGTAAGCAAAACTACTATTTAATGCCTTGAGAGGCTGTAATAAATTGACCTGTAAACAGTTAACAATGCCATTGGTTGATTCAATCATACTTGCCAACACTGATCCATTCCACCGAGAATGTGTGGTCAGTCCACAGTTCGCGACACCCCCGAGTGCACGTCCTGCTCAAGCAGGTGGCAATTGATGAACGAGAACAGCTTCGGTTTTGCTGTTTGCCATCAGAGAAGCTGCTCATATCGTTACCCGTTGGCTCTTACGAGGGTGTACGCACAAAACGAGTGCGCTAGAAAATCCAAAGCGGATTCGCTTTTCTTGCACGGAATGGAGCCGTGTGTGCAGGTATCCGACGCAGTCATTCACACGTGCATACACGCACACGCGCGCTCATGCAGTCATTCACACATGCATACGCGCACACGCTCAAACATGCACTGATTGGTTAAAAAGAATACCCAATGAGACGTAAGTCCTTGAAACAAAAATATAAATAGTTTTCTTCCAAAAAAACATAACCCGTCATCAGCATGTGAACAAAATAAAATGAATGTTATACAAGCAAATCATTGGAGCAATGTACTATTATCCAGCATTCAAAAATAAACCAAAAATATGATTGTATTATAGTCCAGAGTAAAATAAAAACCCATTTCAAAATATTTGCATGGATTTTCTGTTTTGCAAGTTGCCTAAATGTCTTCTGCATCTTAAGAGATATTGACTCTAAGGAACTATGATTGGCACTGGAGATTAATTGCTCTCCGTAGACCGTACAGATTTAAATTAGGCACACGGTACCACAGAAGAGAGCAAACCGAGCCCCAACGTGGACTCATACCGTTTAAAGCACGAGTTGCTGCCAACTTGTACAACCATGTGGGCACAACCTGTTGCCAGATTCATAACAGCATTCGATTGCTACCTGCAGCAAGAAGACTCCGTGACCTTTCGGCACGGTGCATTCCCTACGAGCCTACCAGACGCACATTCCAGTAATTCACGAATCTTATTATCCACGTGCAAAGTACTGCCTGGAGGTGATTTGGTGGCTAGCAACGGTGTACAGGTTGGCATAAACGCATTTAGATGCACTAAGCTGCAATATAATATTTGCGAGAATCCTGCGGGGGGAATCTATGAGTGCAACTGCAATTCTCAGAATGTCGGGCAAAGCATCAGAATGCCCCCTTCGTGACTGCAGGGATTCATCTTCTTGGTTCTTTCGGTAAAGTCACGTAGAAGGGAAATAATAAAATAATAAAAATAAAACTTTTTTTATAATGTTTTATTTTTATTATTTTATTATTTCCATTCTACGTAAAACATATTTTATTATACTATGAGATCTCTTTTACCAGTGGCAAAATATAATAGTAGGTTTTTACCCTTTTAACTGGTACAAAACTGACACCTTTATTCAAGGCATCATGTTTGCAATGACCACAACACAAGTAGTCAAAAAAGCAAACAAAAAGAAGCAACTCTGATAAGGATGATAATATGCACTGTCCTTGAAGTTGATTGGCCCACACCCGAGACGGCTTTCTTTAGAGCCTAGTCCCCATTGGTGTAGGGCCAGATGACACCAGAAGGCGTACAACTCAAACACAGTGCAATATCAGAGTATTGAGAGCTCGGGGTAAGCATTTACACTATGAGATCTCTTTTACCAGTAAAAAACCTACTATTATATTTTATTATGTTTTATTTTTATTATTTTATTATGTCCATTCTACGTGACTTTACCGAAAGAACTAAGAAGATGAATTCCTGCAGTCACGAAAGCTTTAAATCGAAATTTAACATCAGAATGCTGTCGTCCTATGCTTGCGGGCACATTGTGCGTGGAGTCGTTTCAGCACCCATTACCAGCGTGCTCGTTTCATTAAGACCCTGGAAGCCTAATATCAATCACGCTGGAGATTATAAACGTAGGTACGTCGACTTTCGCAACGCCAGGGTTCTTTGCATCGTAACTGAAAACTCCAGATGGATTCCTGCACTTTGAATAGTTCCACGTAGGAAGCAGTATTTTGTACGTGGCTTCGTATTTCAAAATGTTCTCAACAAGCTGGGCGACACCGTCCAATAAGTGAGCATTCGTCAAATTAAAACGAAAACGTCTTTGCACCGGGGCACTTGCTCTGTAGGTTTTACAATTACATTTCCCCGTATATCTCAAAACACGAAGACCTTGTCCGCATTGAAGTTACTTGAGAGTTTATTTATTTTTTGTTAATCTCAGAATGTATGCAATCCATGGCCATTTTAACAAGCGGCGGTCTCCGATCTCCGGTACGAAATCCTATCTGAACAAAGAACAGCTAAGTTCGGGATAAGTGCGTCGTTTTACAATTATCCGGCAATTGCCGAGAGAGGAGACGGCGTGGCGGGGATCGCGCGTAACACGTAACACGCGTGCCACTTGTTATTGGCTGTAAGTGGCACGCGAAGTGAGGAGTCTTTTTTAGAATCCGTTTAAGGGCGTGTTTTTTTCTCCGCCGTGCGGATCGCAACGAAAACAAATAAAATGGAAAAGGAGGAGAGAGAGAAAGAAGAATCTATAAATGAAGCCGAAGCGTTTTCCATGCTCCATGCTGCCACAAAGCACACGCATGCACACGGCACACACACATGCAAGTCATGCTTACGGGGGGAGGGGAGGGGTGCGAGGAGAAACAATATGAGAGAGGAGCGAAAAGGAGTACACACTCTGGGTCATACAGAGCCGTCATCCACGACGGCGTTGAAAAGCTAGGGATCTGCGGCATTTGAGGCATTTGCGGGATCTGCGGCATTTGGGGGAGGCTAACGGGCAGATTGGGGACTTTTGGCAGATTGACGTTTGGGAGGTTACTGGTTAGATTCCTGCGGAAGAAGAACAAAAAGAGACGGGAGCACACGGGGTGGGGGGTGAGGGGTGGGTGAGGGGGGGTGAGGGGGGGCACACGTTCCAAGTTGCACGACCACGGGGATGAGAGAGACGGAGAGAGGAGGAGACACGCGCACGCACGGACACACGCACGCAAGACATTAACGCAAAATACGAGTCTCGTCGTTTTTGTTTGTTTGTTGTTGTGAAGCGGGCAAGTGCAGAACAGCGCAGGTAACCAGCAGTTAGCACGAATTCACAGCAATACCGCGCGGCACGGTCAAACAGACGCCGCTGCAAAGGGGCACTTATGTTGCACTTTGCTGACGCGTGACGCCGTTGGGAATATTCGCGGCAAATGTGGCACGCGGTTTTGTACAAACTGCGGTTGAACGCCACGACGTGGGATAATGATCACAATAATAACACTGATGACGATGATGAAAACCATATGTTTGCTTGGTAAGGCGGTATTTGCTGTGAATTCTATGAAACAATAGCAAAGGCAGACTGGACAAGAAAGAAGAACAATGCGAGGTTACCACGGAGACGGGGCTAAGCGCTAGTTAACCTGCTCGCGTTGCGAAGCCAACGCGAGGCGAATTATCGTTGAATTCACCGGTGCAACAACAAAAAAACCGGTGGCCCCCCGATAGCGAAAAACTCACGGGAGGGATCGAGCTGCAGATAGTGACAACACGGATAAAGTCACGGAGTGGTGGGGGAAAAATAAAAAAGATGATGATGATGAGATATGTTTAGCGAGCAACACAAAATATCGCTTAGTTTTCAACAGTGCACAGCGTCGCATTGGAAACAATCGCAAGGTGGTAACTTATGTGACAGTGCATGTTAGGCATAATTATGCATGACACGTTTATTATGTATGAACGTAGATCAAAAGAACCAACGTCAACACCATAGCCATATTTACATCCCCGTGCCTTGAAACCTACCATTCGTGATGTCTAATTTACAGCAGAATCACGTCGCAAGTATCACCAAGACAGCGTAGACAAACCCCGTCAAAGAGAAACCCTTTAACACGAGAAACTTTCACAAACACATGGCATCACTTCACAAACAGAGCGGTCAGACTCCACCACAATGAGCCCACGATCTCAACCGATGATGAGGCTGACGCTGCTGATGATGATGATGCTGCTGGTGGTCATGGCGCTGTAGGGGAGGAATGCTGCTGATGATGAAAGAGGTGGATGGTGGGTTTACTGAGGGTGTACGCAGGGTGTGCGGAGGGTGTGCGGAGGGTGTACGGAGGGTGCGACGCGGTTGATTGACAGGGAGAATCGACGCGCTGTCTTACTTGACGGGCTCCCAGGATTCGCGCTCAAAGCCCTTGTGGATGGACTGCGCTATCGACGACTCCATCAGGTCGACGTAGCGCACCACGAGGGGTGCAAACACATCCTGCAGGTGCTTGTGGTACTTGCCATTGCACAGGTTTCCTGCGCGGAAAGAGGGCACCGCACGGTGAGGTCGAACCTGCATTGACTTGTCGCGCATTATTGTTTGGCGCGGGAACTCCCGCCTTGACCGAGACGTCCGGCCGGTGCGGAAGAGTAGGCCAAATTACCTCTAGGGGGGCTCTCTGAGGCTCCGGCTAGCGGTGGCCCTTCTGCCAGCAGTGGCGCGAGCAGGACATTGCAGGGCTGCACCTTCACATCCTTCTATTACATACATTTCACATTTCAGCTTTTCCAAAACAAATTAACCAGTTGACTGGCAAATGTGCGTTTTGCATGACAATTACGACACCTTGTTTGGGAAATACGTGTTTACGTGAAGAACAATTTTGAAGTGTGGGAAAACAACCCCCATCAAGAGGTGTTGGGAGACCTTCATCCAACAGTGGAATGATAAAGGGACTGCACGTTATATTATATTAAGAGGTCCATGGGGAGGGAAGGCAAGAAGGGTGAAGACCGCTTGTGGAGGAGGGATGGCACCAGGAGGGAGGAGGAACAGTCGTAGGGTCGGCTGGAGAAAAGCGCAGGAAGATTACGAAGCGGATGAAGAGGTGAGCGGAGTGACGAAGGAATGGGCCAGTTCACAGCATTAGCCCTGGCCTGAGAAACACTCTCAAAGAAGGGCGCTCAGGTTTCATTTGGTAGTCAAAGCCAAGTGGTGGCATATTGACAGCGGAAGAGGTCCCTAAAAACAGCATTTTGCGCCACGCCGCTCGTGAATTACGATCGCGGTTTCTCTCTCACCGCGGCCGCACCGAACGACGCGGGGGCGGCGTCCGTGCCGCGCGAACGTGCTGCGATCCAATTACACCGATTGACAGCAGCGCTGTGACACCGCATCGTCCAGCGACGGGGCAAACGGAGGCCGGAAATCAGAGTCGGCGGAACGCGCGCCGCGGTGCGCTTGGCGAGAGAGAGCGAGCTAGAGGGCGAGAGAGAGAGAGCACACCGACAGCGGACGGCACGGGAACGCAGAAATCGGAACGCACGCAGCGCAAAGTGCACCCAGAGAAGAAGGCATCACACTGCGCGCAGTCAATTACCAACGTGCGGATGGCCAGAGCGCATATGTCATAGCAACCGATTTGTTCCGCGTCGCCAGACACATTATATAATGTAGATCATTACAGGGAATAAAGAAAAGCAATTACTTATCCACTTGACATGCCTATTACTGCACACACAAGCGTCTGATAGCCCCCATTAAAGTAAATTTTGCGATCCTTCATATAATTTCTATTTAGCATTCTTGCCGGTGTTGACATGAAACAAGAAATTAACGCAAACCAAACTTACTAATCTGCAGTAATTTATCAATCTCTCTTCTTTGCCCAATGGCGGCGCTAATTACTGCCGCGGTATGCAAACGTGATCGTTTCCCAACTCAATCAGCGCTGCGCACGCCGCTGGCTTCGTTACCGCCCAGGTGACGTGCGCTCGGGGTGATGTTTGTGAACGGGAGGCGAGCGACGAGATATCAAAATGCAAAATTGTGATTACGGACAAATTAGCGGCGGTAATGCGAGCATTACAAAACCGCGGCAGAACTGGGCACCGACGCTAATTTTAGACTCCGGTTTGTGGAAGACGAGGACGATGTGCCAATTTGAACCGTGAGCGAGGTTTGAATGTCTGCCGGATGTCGTGGGTTGCGAGCACCGCGACAGGGCACGCTCGGCAGAGAGGGTAGAAAGCGCGTCGCCTATCGCTGAACGAAGAGATGCATGCTGGGAATTACTCCGAGAGACGGCAAAGAGGAACGCACGAAATGGGGGGAACAAACGCAAACTGCGGGCATCACTCGACGGTTAAGGAGAGCGAGGGGGCTCGGGTGCAGGACGCGTTGCTAGAAGGAATGGTGGCCCATGGGCGAGACTGGTCACAAAACGGCAGCCAAAGCAGGGAGCACAAGCGAGCGGACGAGCACCACGAGGGTGGAGCGACGAGGTGAGCTCACTCGCAGGACGAGCGAGACGGACTGAAGCACCGTGAGGGTGCGAAGGTTGGCGAAGGCACGTGGGGCCTTCATCCAGCAGCGGAGAGACCGCGGCAGATGAAGACGAGGAGCGATAACCGCTCCACCGTCTGGTGGACTGATCACCACGACGCTCGGCACTGGGGCCGCCGGTTTGACGGTTCATCTCCCGTAGTTATCGCGGCGCTTGTCACCACGACGCGCCGTATAGGGGTGCGGCGAGCGCCCCGGCGAGGCTGCAACATTGCTCACGTGTGTGGACAATTGCTTGTCGGCGCCGTTGTCCAAATTTGACATTTCAAATGTATCCGCAGTGGTTAATTGGGGAATACAAACTTTCTCGCAACGGGATTGAGTTTTTTAATCTGTGAAAATGAAATGCAACAGATCGGTTGACGTATCAAAGGGAAGCGCACGTTAAATTAAATGTGCCATCGATGGTGAATTGAAAATTTGAGTGCGTGACGATTAAGTTTTCACATTTTTGGTGACCTAACAACAGCTGGTGCGGAGATTTAAATAGGAATTTAATTCCCTACCCCAAAAAAATCTCGTTTTAATTCGTTTTAAGTCTCAAAACTTCCGAACACAATCAGTTGTATACTCTTTGGTTCTTTCGATAGATTAAATAAATCACGACGTTTCGGGCGCAACACAAGCGCCCGAAACGTCGTGATTCATTTTATTTTCTACCTACGTGACTTTACCGAAAGGACTAAAGAGTATGGATTCCTGCATTCACGAAAGCTTAAAATCAATCATTTGTATGGTTTAACAGTTTCTTTGTTTTAGACTTGTTTACAAACAAAACGACTTACAATTTGCTGAAATCAGTGAGATTGTGTGCACGTCTGTCCTCTCATTTCAAGGCAACAGCTCCAATATTGCCATGAGGCCCAGCTGCTGGGATTGTCTCTCTGCGCGTGCTGCGGTCACCCGTCTCGTTCCACGCTCACCGCCGCTCTCCCCATCCTGCACCGCTGGCAACCCCACGGCCCGTCGAAGGGCATCTTCGTTGTCTCTCCTCAACAAGCGCCCAAACCCATCCAAGTCCAGGCTACCTGACCTTCTCGAGAACATAAGTGACCTCATCCAAGGTTCTAACTTTTTCAATTCACAACCTACACTAATTGCAAACAATCGATTTGTACGCCCACAATTCAACGCTTGACCCCGAGAGGTGGCAGTGGGGTTTGGGGCGGCCTTCATCCCGTAAAGGGGACTGCTCGTGACAGACGACGATGATGGCAGCGGCGGTGCTGGCGCGGTCGGTCCCAACCGGCGTCTCAGCTGTGCTGGGCAGGTCGTTGTTGTGTGTCACATGTGCTGGGCAGGTCGTTGTTGTGTGTCACCTGTGCTGGGCAGGTCGTTGTTGTGTGTCACGTGTGCTGGGCAGGTCGTTGTTGTGTGTCACGTGTGCTGGGCAGGTCGTTGTTGTGTGTCACGTGTGCTGGGCAGGTCGTTGTTGTGTGTCACATGTGCTGGGCAGGTCGTTGTTGTGTGTCACGTGTGCTGGGCAGGTCGTTGTTGCGTGTCACGTGTGCTGGGCAGGTCGTTGTTGTGTGTCACATGTGCTGGGCAGGTCGTTGTTGTGTGTCACGTGTGCTGGGCAGGTCGTTGTTGTGTGTCACGTGTGCTGGGCAGGTCGTTGTTGCGTGTCACGTGTGCTGGGCAGGTCGTTGTTGTGTGTCACGTGTGCTGGGCAGGTCGTTGTTGTGTGTCACGTGTGCTGGGCAGGTCGTTGTTGTGTGTCACGTGTGCTGGGCAGGTCGTTGTTGCGTGTCACGTGTGCTGGGCAGGTCGTTGTTGTGTGTCACATGTGCTGGGCAGGTCGTTGTTGTGTGTCACGTGTGCTGGGCAGGTCGTTGTTGTGTGTCACATGTGCTGGGCAGGTCGTTGTTGTGTGTCACATGTGCTGGGCAGGTCGTTGTTGTGTGTCACGTGTGCTGGGCAGGTCGTTGTTGCGTGTCACGTGTGCTGGGCAGGTCGTTGTTGCGTGTCACATGTGCTGGGCAGGTCGTTGTTGCGTGTCACATGTGCTGGGCAGGTCGTTGTTGTGTGTCACGTGTGCTGGGCAGGTCGTTGTTGCGTGTCACGTGTGCTGGGCAGGTCGTTGTTGCGTGTCACGTGTGCTGGGCAGGTCGTTGTTGTGTGTCACGTGTGCTGGGCAGGTCGTTGTTGTGTGTCACGTGTGCTGGGCAGGTCGTTGTTGCGTGTCACGTGTGCTGGGCAGGTCGTTGTTGTGTGTCACATGTGCTGGGCAGGTCGTTGTTGTGTGTCACATGTGCTGGGCAGGTCGTTGTTGTGTGTCACGTGTGCTGGGCAGGTCGTTGTTGTGTGTCACATGTGCTGGGCAGGTCGTTGTTGTGTGTCACATGTGCTGGGCAGGTCGTTGTTGTGTGTCACGTGTGCTGGGCAGGTCGTTGTTGTGTGTCACATGTGCTGGGCAGGTCGTTGTTGTGTGTCACATGTGCTGGGCAGGTCGTTGTTGTGTGTCACGTGTGCTGGGCAGGTCGTTGTTGTGTGTCACGTGTGCTGGGCAGGTCGTTGTTGCGTGTCACGTGTGCTGGGCAGGTCGTTGTTGTGTGTCACATGTGCTGGGCAGGTCGTTGTTGTGTGTCACGTGTGCTGGGCAGGTCGTTGTTGTGTGTCACCTGTGCTGGGCAGGTCGTTGTTGTGTGTCACGTGTGCTGGGCAGGTCGTTGTTGTGTGTCACGTGTGCTGGGCAGGTCGTTGTTGCGTGTCACGTGTGCTGGGCAGGTCGTTGTTGTGTGTCACGTGTGCTGGGCAGGTCGTTGTTGCGTGTCACGTGTGCTGGGCAGGTCGTTGTTGTGTGTCACGTGTGCTGGGCAGGTCGTTGTTGTGTGTCACGTGTGCTGAGCAGGTCGTTGTTGCGTGTCACGTGTGCTGGGCAGGTCGTTGTTGCGTGTCACGTGTGCTGGGCAGGTCGTTGTTGCGTGTCACGTGTGCTGGGCAGGTCGTTGTTGCGTGTCACGTGTGCTGGGCAGGTCGTTGTTGCGTGTCACGTGTGCTGGGCAGGTCGTTGTTGCGTGTCACGTGTGCTGGGCAGGTCGTTGTTGTGTGTCACGTGTGCTGGGCAGGTCGTTGTTGCGTGTCACGTGTGCTGGGCAGGTCGTTGTTGTGTGTCACGTGTGCTGGGCAGGTCGTTGTTGTGTGTCACGTGTGCTGGGCAGGTCGTTGTTGTGTGTCACGTGTGCTGGGCAGGTCGTTGTTGCGTGTCACGTGTGCTGAGCAGGTCGTTGTTGCGTGTCACGTGTGCTGGGCAGGTCGTTGTTGCGTGTCACGTGTGCTGGGCAGGTCGTTGTTGCGTGTCACGTGTGCTGGGCAGGTCGTTGTTGCGTGTCACATGTGCTGGGCAGGTCGTTGTTGCGTGTCACGTGTGCTGGGCAGGTCGTTGTTGCGTGTCACGTGTGCTGGGCAGGTCGTTGTTGCGTGTCACGTGTGCTGGGCAGGTCGTTGTTGCGTGTCACGTGTGCTGGGCAGGTCGTTGTTGCGTGTCACGTGTGCTGGGCAGGTCGTTGCTGCGTCTCACCTTCGTTGCGCAAGTAGTCATTGAGCAGCTGGAAGAGGGGGAAGCTGTCCCACGTGTCCGGGGGCTGCACCTCGAGCGCCGCGTCCATGTCCACGGCGTACAGAGATAAGAACGTCTCGGCGTGCTCCACCATCAGGTCGGACCACCACGCGAACGCCTGGCGAAAGGACGGGGGGAGGGGGGGGGTCACTGCATTCCTTCTCGACGGATTTCGGTACGCGACCGCTCTCTGTGGTTCAAGGAGGCACGAGGAGCGCACGGGAAGCGCCCGTCAGCGGATCGAAACACCGTGAGAGACTCGGGCGACGTTATGGGGCAATCGCTGCCGGCGATCGTCGCAGCGTTACCCGTTGCGCTGGCACGGAACGTGGACAAATCTCTTTGCCGCTTGAGCTAGCGGGTGACTGGGTTGGCAACTTTCAATAAAGTCACACACTGAGGTCAAGCGACTAGCCGAGGTCGTGCGATCTGCACGGCAATCATTGCTCACCACAATACACTTTCCATCGGGCCGGACACAACTCCATCACAATGTGCCGACGAGCTGCTGTGTTGCAATAGTTGCCCATAGTCAACGTGTCGCTGGTGACGGCTGCAAGTGACTGTCCACAAAATTAGCCCTCGTGTCTCACAGCTTAACCGAGGTGCCCCTCTTCACTATTAACACGGACAGCGTTAGGTTTAAATGCATCGCCCGGATTTCATCGAAGGGATACAAAAGTACTTTGAATGGAAAACATTTCATGGTGTATACATGTGACCGCATTATAAGACAACGGAGACATTTAACTCCATTCAAATCTCCCATTTGATCCGGTGTTGAATGAACTTGGAGATGCATTTAAGTAACACTGTCAAGGGAAACACCAGCGGTGACCGTGTAGATTCTACAGTGAGGTTCATGGGGACCCACATTGAGACATTAATTAAAAGGGATGTTCCAATAAATTAAACTAAAACAACATTCTTATTGAAATCACGGCAACTTGTAAGACCCATCAATGTGTCGCTCGTAAAGCTCTCCACGGCATTGCCCTGCGGAGACAGACGTTGCTGAAGCCCTGAGAAGGCTGGGCATGCAATGGGACATGCACATTGCACATACAGGGCTGACGTGTGTGTGCTTGCCATTCTAACTGACAAATAATTGATGGGTTGTTTGAACATTTAATCCTTTGCAAGATGGTAATACTCCTAAAATAAACCAAAAAAAAAAATACACTGGATAAGGAATTAAACCAGGAAATGTTACACAAGTGGGGCCGAATGAGAAAACCCCGAGTTTGGCAAAAATAAACTATAATTTGTAGAAATAAATCATTTGACGAGTACACCGGCAAATAAATTAATTGTAAAAAATTGGACAGGTTTTTAATGAATCACAGTTGGATCCAGCGAAATCCGGCACCCCCCCCCACCTCCCTCCGTGATTATATTTTCAAACTGACGAGTGCCCATCAAGTGTGAATTACAACAACAACAACCGCCTCCTCCTCCTCCGTTGGTTATTCTGCCTCGCCGCACAAAGCCAGAGATGTCCCATGTGCTTGTAAAGCAACGTCTGTCACTAAGTGCAAACGTGTACCTTGATGACTGCAGCTGGAACCACAAAGTGCAAATAGAATTCCAGGAGGTCAATGTTTGAAACAATTATACGGTCGACACAACAATTTAAGCAGAAGCATTACATGTCAGATACAATGACAACCAAAAATACGATAATAATAAAAAAAATGTCCAGCGTTTGTATTAACACATGTACTGTTATTTAAATGAGATAAAAGCCCTCTCTGGATGTGATATATTAATAGGAACTCATAAATATGAGTTCATAAATTACGATATTTTGTCAATCCACTTGTGTATGAAGAAAGCCTGTCCATGCCATGCCAGCTGTAGGGGGTTGTATGTCCATACTTCCCCATGATGGTCAGTGCGGTATGTGAGCCAGAGCCAGTTTAGACACGACTCGCCACTGATGTTAGCCGTTTGCCGGGAAACCAAACTCGAGTCGTTAGGTTCATCGCGCAGTCCACTATCCACTGCACCACCACTCCAACCACTTAAAAAAAACACAATGCACTTTCAATAAAAAAACAAGACATTATTGATGGCCGTTATTGTATCAGGCACATCTGAAATAATGTGCCAGACGGAAAGGCCACTGCTGGTATGAGAATATGTGTGCTATGAGCTCCAGTTAGCGGCCATAGGCAAGCGTAACTCTAGCAGCAGGAATCTTAACGGGCACTCATTAAACAGTTGTGAGGCTGTTGGGCGAACGGGAGGTGTTTAAAATAAGGGTAATGTACCCATCACAAGAAACTCCGTTTAAGTGCGCTCAATCACATCAAACATTCTGGAATGTTTATCTGACACTTCCGTAGAAAAATGTTGAGCTGTATAAGCATTATTTTGGTTAATGACAAGCTATGTTATTGAAATCCAAAGCTGTATTACCATAACTTACAAGGTTTATTTGTTTACATACATTCAATGCACACATTTTAACCAACACTTTCACTTCACCTTCAAACCCATCGTTATGTTTCTGTTTATTTGTGCATCCCATGGACACACACAGGTTGAACTGGGCTACTGGGAAACTGGGACTTGGCCCTGTAAATTCGGCATCACGATGCTAATACTTCATTATAATTATAACAAGAAGAATAGTAATGGCCTTTAGCCAGGAAAGCTTCGCAGCATCCTATCATTTCATTTCAGGAGGGTCCTGCTTTGGAATACTTGGCCAATGCAGCTCAAGAGCGCTTGGCTTTTTGCAGGAAACCAAAGTACTTGGAGACAAGCCACCCCTACGAGGGGGGTAAGACGCAAAGCTCTGCACAGATAGATTCAAGAATCCACTGCCGTAACGTCACCTGCTTGCCGCTTCGCCAGTTCACGCCGGCAACGATGAGGCTCCCATCCTATTCGTGACCGGGCCCACCTCGTAGACTACCGAGATCCGGCGAGGTCGGGCGCATTTCTGGTGATATGGTCATTAAAACCATTTGTCGGCCGAAATGGTTTGTTATTCACTTTGAGCCGAGCGTTTGACCTCCCTCCCAGCTCCAGGATCGGAGCTCTTGGGAAAACTTTGCCCGTTCCTCCGATAGCCCAGTCCAACCGTCACACAGCAAGAGGCCATCCATTCAGCACGTACGCATGGAGGGGGTTGACCCAAATGCGTACGCTGACAATGTACGCAGAGGAAACGGGGGGGGGGGGGGAGGGGTGGTGAAGCCTCGATAATAGTTTGTCTACATTGGCCTTCAAATGAGTTAGATAGTCCGGCGGTGGACTATCTGTTTGCTTAAACACGTTCATATTATTAATCCTTGATCAATTCTGCGTGGATTAAATATCGGCCGTTCAATATGATTCGGGAGGTGGGGGGGGATGGTGTAAAAAGTCCTCGTGCGTACAGGGAGGGGGGGGAGCGGTGAAGTCGTGACAGGTTTCTGCGTGCCGACTCAGTGGATAGCCCCGGACCGCACCGACGGGCAGCGAAGCCGCATTCACGTGCCGCATTCACGTGCCGCATGCACTTAGAACGGGGCGGGGGGGGGGGAAGGAGGCATTCAGCGTGCTCGCGATGACGCGCATTCGTGGGTCCTTCAGTCCTGGTGAAGGGCTGAGCCTTGCTGTTGATGGTGTGTGTGTGTTGATGGTGTGTGTATGTGTGATGGTGTGTGTGTTGACGGTGTGTGTGTGTTGATGGTGTGTGTGTGTGTGGTGTTTCCATGCGAAGTGTATCTCGGTCACGGCGTGCTCACATGCACTGTGCTCACCCTGGTTGATGGTTTATTAGGAAGCCACCGGAGCTATGTACTTTTAAATCTCGATTGAAAACTCATTTCTTAAGAATTGCTTTTGTGTTTTGTTGGTTGTCCTTTTCCCGCACCTCCAATTAGCGCGGTTGGCTACGTACGGTGCAAAAGAAGTTCAACGTACATGCATCATACACATCCCTCGCTTTGGCCGCGAGTTAGGCCACACGTTTTGCTCTGCTTCCTCGAGGTGTCCGCTAAAGCCTCCTTTCCATTTGGGACCGGTTGTTACCAGTTTCAAGGATATCCCTCTTCCAGAATCTACCTTTACTTTATTCTAATTATCTGATATATATTTAAAAACGTGTTATATATTCACACTGCATAAGAGCCGATGACTTGTGTGTACGTTGTTCCAAGAAGCGGATGGGAATAACTGATTAGCAAATTAGCCACTGCCTTCGTGACAAAACAAATGTTGCAAATGTGGATGATGCAAGGTGGCCCCGAAAGTTAAGTTTACTGAGAAAATAATAACGTGTGTGTGTGTGTGTATGCCAGTAAACTAACTTTTGGCATGCTGATGCTAATGGTTAGGTTTTTTCCCTCCCCTCCAAGCAAAGACCATCGCCCCAAAATAAGACATCGAGTGTTCCATTGTGCTGCAGCACTTGTCAAGAGCCATGGCCACGATCTATGCCAAACATGGGGCCAATCACGGGACGTTTGACTCTAACCGTGGATGTTTTCACTGTCTGCGATGTTTATACATCGGCCGCGTTGGCGAGATGTTAACTACCTCGCATGATGTGCAGGAAGTCGTGGGTTTGATCCCGACCCTGACACCTGTATATTTGGAGTCTGCGGTGTCTCTCTCCTAGTGATCGCGTGGATTTTTCTCCGGGTCCTCCGGTTTTTCCCTCCACATTTAGAATCAACGTCACGCGTTTAGAGCGTTTGGCTGTTATAAATGACCACGTGATAAGCCACTTCGTTGAGCTCTCATTTGTGATTGCCAGGTCGCTTCTGAAAAAGAGCTACACAGCTCAGTGTGCGTCACCTGGTAAAATAGAAAATAGTTAAAATAGTTTAGTTCATACTGTCGGGGGGAGAACAGGAGAGCTGCTCCATTCAGTCCCCGGAGAAGCTGGCAACTACGTGCAGCGAAACGTCGGGCATCGTGCGGAACATCACGCGGCGGTAGCAGCCGGAAGGAGCCGGCTCGGCGTTCGCGTTGCAAGTTGCACGCAGACACCGGCCACGTCTCACATCCCGTCAGCAACCGCCGTCAGCAACCGCACGGGTTGACAACCGCACAGGTTGACAGCCGCGCTGATTGTGTGGCCGTCGCCACGACCAGACGGAATACGACGCGGGATTTGAGCAGCCCGCGTGACGTAGGCGGTGTGCACAAGATGTGCGCGCAGGTGACACAATGTCGGCTCGTCGTCAAGATAACACCTGCGGCTGAATGTGAATGTGTCCCAAGTGAATGAATGAATTCATGTGAATGCATCCCATGGGCCCGAGTGGAAACGAGGCAGGCAGAATTCGCCCGAGCGTGCGGGGATAAGCCACCGGAGGCAAGATAAGTAAGCATCGTTTTTATTACTTACAATTACTTCTTTGCCGATTGAAACTGCCCCCTGAGGCATTCAGAAATTAATTCCCTTTCATCGAGTAATTTCTCTCGGAGTTATGCTACATTTCAAATAATAATAATTCTGCTCTTCTGTCGATAACAAGACTGCTTTATTTTGGCACGATTTAATCATCTGCATGTGAATTAACTGCGCAGTCACCCGGTACGCACTCAGAGGAGACGCCAAGGAAACGCTTTTCGAATCGGGAGGTGATTTCGAGGTAATGGCTGGGCAGGCACGTGACGACTGACTCGCAGTCGCCTTAAAACTGACGAGGCAACTAACTCGCCTTGCGCTCTGCACATCGGCAACAGCCCTAGCATCTAATCACGCAATCGTGAAGCAGTTTCAAGTTAAATCTAAAAACTCACATTTTTTAACTTGCTCTTACTTGAGATTATTTTACAGTGATATTTTTTGATATGCCTTCGATAGTCATTTATTATATTGCAATTTTGTTTTCTATTGAATTTGCTTTAATTCTTCTTGTGAATGAGTCTATTAACAATGTTTTTTTTCATCTGTACAGCACTTTGAATGGCATCCTTTTCCCAAAATGTTGCTGTCGAAATAAAGACTTGATTGATTGATACACTAAGTACCCACGCAGAGTTCATTAGTTTCAAGGACCCCCCCCCCCTTACACATTATTATTATTAGGACACATGTAATTCCATTTGCCCACTTGCAGGAAAGCCCTGTGCAGTGTGAGCACATCATGGCTAGCCAGTTTGTGACCACCGCCCCGAGGCGGACCGTGTGTGGGACACGGGATGTGTCGCGTCACTTCAGCCACAGTGCGCTCACACAGAGCCCGGAGAAATGCTTAGGGGGGAGATACAAAACCACTGGTGGCACACTTTGCGTGGGTATCTGAAGCTGTGAAACTCCTGCAAAAAAAACCTGCCGAGCACCTCCGATTTATCACGGTTGGCTACGTATGGTGCGAAAGAAGTTCAACGCACGTACACACATCATCATCTGTCCCTTTCATCGGCCGATCAGCGGCGATGAGGCCAAACTAATTTCGGCCGTGGTCCTCGTTATTCAGCCGCTATAACGACGCTTACATCGCTGGCAAGTGCGTTGAGTAACAGACTGAGAGCCTGTTGAGAAGCTCTCTTGTCTGATGGACGATCTGAGAGTTCAAAACAGAACAGTTAAAGTTCAAAGTTGGTAATTTACGGCTGAGTTGATGTGTAACCGTGGCAGTAATTTGTTACGTAATCGATTACCTTCGAAGTTCGCGCGCCCTTCATGAGCGTAGTGTAGGCCGTCACGATGCTCGTGACGAGGGATAATGGCACAAGCTGTCGGACTTTAACGTCACACGGCAGTGCTGATGGCCGCTCTGTCAGGTTGGCAAAATCACTATTCTCCAGTTCATTTACAAATCATGAGTTGAACATTTGGGAAGTTATTATTTTTTCCAATGAGAAAGTATGTGTGATATATTAAAATATAACGTGTAAGTTTGATTAATAAAAGGTTACATTATTGGCCCCTGCTAACAACCAATATAAACTCATACATACTAAATTAAATCAATGGTTTATTCTTTTTGGTGATAAGTGTAAGTTTATCTTGATATCACGGTTTCTTTCAACAGGTTAATGTTTACAGTTAGACTGCGTACCTCAAGACTACGCTGGTTGGCTAAAACATCTTCAGAGCTGAACATCCCAGGGCTAGCCTTCAGTTTCGATCTGACATATTTGTAGAAAAATAAATAAAGTTTATTTATGTATTCAATCCTGCGCTGCTGCATTTAAATAAGCGAGGTCCTCTCAGAGGTTTCTTTTTGTCGGAGTTACCCAGCATTCATTTGGAAACCACGATCCAAGGAACCTCATCGGTGGTCGGGAAAAAAATGGTTCATCAAAAAAGTGGGGGGTCAGGCAAGAGGGGCGAGGGGGGGGTAACCTGGGCGTCAGGTTTGGTGGGAACATGTTGACCGGAACATGTTGATAGGAACATGCAGAGTTTGTTCATAAGTGGGGGGGGGGGGGGGGGGGAGCTGTAAAAAGTGAGGTAAAAACCGACCGTACGTACCTCCCTTCCCTGCATGGCATCCCGACAAGGGTGGTGTGTGTGGTGCAACGAGACGGGGAGAGGGAGGGGGGGCGGGGGAGTTGGTTTTGGTGGGATTTTTTTTTTCAAAACAGAAATGAAAACAAAAGCATCGGCGTTAGCAGCACAAACACAAAAAGCGAACGGGGAAACAGAAAAAAACGCGGAAAAGGTTTCCGCTAAAGTTCTCGGCCGCGAAGAACGGAGAGGCTCCGAAAGATTTTAACGGTGACCGCACGCAAACTCATCGACGGAGATCGCAAAACAACGTGGATTGGCGCCGTGGAAATAAAAATTAAGTGGTAAAATTGATCGCGGGCAAAAAAAATGTTTGGGTGTTAGACGTCGTTCGAGCAAGACGCCACCTTCACAAGTTCAACATCTGCATTTTGTCAGGGCAGCATTGACAGTCGCTGAGGGAGTACAACGTGGCACTTGGTTTGAGTTGACTAAGTCAACCCCTGGGTGACGCAATGAAGAACACTGACTTAGAGTGACGCAATGAAGAACACCGACTTAGAGTGACGCAATGAACAACGCCGACTTAGAGTGAGTCCGAGCTCACTGGGGGGATCTGCCCAATTTCAGCCTGGTCTGTGCGGGCCGGCGAGCAGGAACATATATCTGCTCCCCGCACACCCCACCCCGTGCACCTCTCGCTCTGGCTGCAGCTAACTCATCAAATGCCACTTTCTGGTCTCCCATGCAGCGGATCTAGAAAATGTGGATAGGGAAGTGTGGGGCTGGCGGGAGGCGAGCGCGAGGAGAGCGTCACCTCAGCATGGTGCTCCTCGTTCTGCTGCAGGACGTCAATCACCAACTCGGCGAGGTGAATGACATCCTCCAGTTTCTTCGCAGGAGTCACGAGTTGCCCTATGTTTTCTGCGTGTTGTTGTCGTCGTCGGTGTTGCAGACGTCGTTGTTTGTTGTCGAGTAGGGGAGAGGGCAGAGGCACAACGGTTAGGAAAGAATACAAACTGCGAAACGTAAGCAGAAATGTCACCGTTGCTCCTTACCGAGCGAGCAAACTATTCCCCATAAACACAACGAGCCGGCAACTGCGCGCGATCTCCGCATCAGGTGGGCGAAAGGTAATGGGGGGAACGAACGAACAATAAACACATTTGCGGGAACAATTCATGCAAAATAAAGAGGCGGCGACTCCTCCGGTCATGCTTTGGATTTTTCAAGACGCGTGCAAAATGAAGAATCGCGCGAGTTTCGAGAGAAGAAAGCCCATCGAAGCGTCCGGTAGGTAAAGCCCCCCCCCGCTTCGCGACGCATTTCTCAAACGCTGTCAGCGATCGGACGCCGTTTCGTCACGCGTTCGTTAGTGCACACCGCGGGTATTGTAATTATTCTTTCACGCGTGTTCGGCAGATCGCGATAAACCTCTTTGCTTCGCGAGCGTCTCCTCGAGGTGTTTTATGGCTCCCCGTGCTTACGCCATCGCAGAAAAAACACGCGACGTGGAAATTGTGAAAAAAAACGTAAAGCGAATGAACGCGACGTTCATTCCGATGGAAGGACAGACAGCGCACACTGGGGACGATGTTTGTTGATATTGTGATGGGACAGCAAGAGATGGGGGACACCACGAGAAGACGGGGGGTAGCAGGCGGGGGGGGGGTCAGAGACAACTGGCCAGGAGGGATCAGCGGCAGAACAATCCGGAGGTTGAGAAGCACCACTTTGCGGGGAAGTCAACAGCGGTTTGAATGTGGAATGTTCACCGCTGGCTCAGGGCTGCAAGTAAGCAGGAGGATGAGCACAGATGCCTCGATGCTCATTTGAGCGGGGACATCACCGACGCGCTCTTTTGCTTTTCGGGAGACAAAGGCATCTAAAGGAGAGCCTGCAGCCTGAAACTGATCTAAGCCCTCACAGGCAACGACTACGATCATTCCTCGGCAATTCCTTGCGGTCGGGGATGAGGATGACTGTCGTCCACCGACGTCTTATCCGTGGCTCCGGAGGCAGCTGATGAGGCCGAGTGATTATTACGCGAGTCGAGGGCGCATGCGAAATCTTAACTCCGTGGCCTGGAGGTTTAGGTTTGAGAAATTAGCGCGGAGTATAGTTCTGAGTTGTTACAGCACAGCACGTGCAATCACGTGCTCAACTGAGCGTAGCAGCACTCGGCAGCGTCTTCACATAGCACACAGGAGGCGAATCCCCCGGGGTGCGGGCTGCCCGGCTGGGCCCTCCGCGTCGAGCGAATTCCGCGTCTCTCGAGCGGAGGCCGCGAGCGACTGCGGGGCAGCTCCGGCTGCGCCCGCAGTCGTCCGCGGGGCAAGCTCGAGAGGGGAGATGCTCAGACGCGCCGCGCGGTCCGACCTCGGATGAGCCGCGCGCGGCAGTGGAAACTCGCGTTGATAAATACGACATGCGTCTCAGCTGTACGTTAGTAGAATTCCGTACACCGTGATAGTTCTAGACAGGTGTCTTCTCGGTGTTTAAAATATCAATAGTACTGATTGTAAACTTTCTCACTGGGAACATCTACCCTGCAATGCTATCGAGGTTATTAAGCCTCGAGATGCTTAGAGCCCCACCGGCCATTCCTGTATATTTATTATGCAATTAGCCTCGGGCTCTAGAGTCACTATTACTCAGCAGGGGCATGCTTCACAGGAGAAGGGATGGGCAGATTCTAAAAGAAGCATTCCTTCTAAGCTCAGGCAATTAAAGACGGACTCATTACGCCTATTAGCCAGGGCCACACAGACACGCTGCCTGCTTAAGAACAAAGCTGGGATGTACAACATTGGCTTTCAAAGTTAAAATACAACTAAGTAATCAGTCAGTTGTTAGGCACGACAAACAATTAATGTTACAACTTGAACGATATATACGTCCGCGAGAAATTTGTAAACCAAACTCATCGATTCATCAAATGTGTTTTTGCTCGTTTGTTTGCGCATCTGGCATCGTCGTTTCCGCGTGCAGCCGAAAACAACGATCACCAACACGACCACCACCACTCTGCGCCCCCCTCGATTACATCCAACGGAGGGATCGGGGGGGGGGACGCCTGACTCTGCTATGAAGTCAATCGGAACGCCTCTCAAGTCAGGCACCGTGTCCTTGATCAGTGCCGGGCCGGTGGGTAAAGAGTGGGGGCAGTGGAGACGTGGGGCACAGAAGGTGGTGGGAACAAGGCGTTGGGCGAGCAGGGGAAGCGATTTGTACGCAGTTTATAATTTTTATGAGCAGGTCAGTTTCGTTTTTTCTTTAAAAAATGTTTTCACGAGCGGGGCCCAGCCCCCACCAGCCTTTGGTTTTGATGCTTCGCTCAAACCAACGCTGACATTCGGCGCCAATGTCAATATCGATGGCTGTTGAGAAGTGCGTGAGGATTCTGATCTGAGTATTATTATTATCATTGTTACGATTAACGTTACTCTGGTCCACCCAGCCTGGTTCCCGTGTCAGCGTGGCCGCACTGTGGAGGTGAATATCGTGATAGGTGCTCAGTACTTGGCATGTTTTTGGGCAGAGGAATCTTCTGGATGGAGGCGCTACTCTGTCTGTAGGGGTGCGTGGGGGCTTTGTGTGCAGCGCGTCGGCGGGCCACTGCACGTGGCGGTGCACAGAAAGGGGTTAGACAGAGACACACAGAGACACACAGAGACACACAGACACACAGAGACACACGCGCACGCATGTGTAACGAATATGTGTGGGCATGCACACACGCGCAGAGTGAAACAACAGAAAACAGCCAGATGAAAATGTAGAATAAACATCAAAATAATGCAATGTTCAATGAACTCATAAAACCAACCATGGAACGTAAATAATGACATGAAATTATTTGAAATCGATGGTTAAAACTGGCTATAGCACGAAAGAAATATCTTACTTTGGACGAAGCACAATCGACAATACAGCAAGATATCGTGAAGACAGCGACGTTTTACCGGACGATAAATGTAAAAGTGTACGATACCCAATAAATAAGAAAGACCAATTGCTAAACACTTAACTTGTATTTCAACGTATACATTCAGGAGTTAATCTCCTGACCGGTAATGACCACACACGGCTTGTCATTCTACAACTGGGATGCATTACTAGGGTGCATGCAGTTACGTGGTGCACAGGACCTCACGTCTCATCACGTGACCTCGACGGTTGAAAATATCACAAGACATAAACCTACGGGCTGGTGTGCTCCATTAAAAACCATTACCAGCCCGGAGACTGCTCGTACTGGAACAGCCTAATGCGTGAAAGCGTCAATATTGCAAGCGGTTCATGAAGGACTGGGTAAGCACTTCATGCGCGGAATGGATCTACATTCATAGATCGTGAGAGACCCCTACGATCGGCAGGTGAGGCAGCGACCGTGACGGCCCCCCCAGTGTGTGACAGGGGTGCCATCGATACAGAAGCCATGGAGCGCGTGTTGGTGCAGCACTGTTGTGTCGACTGCGAGAGAGCCGGTGGCATCTTGCGTGCGGGGATGAGTTGCGCTGTGGATAGGGGCGGTAGCAGTGGTCTCGTGTCCATTTTCACGTCCATCGATTCAAGTAAACACAGGAATATGGCTCTGCGCCAGTCGACGCATGGACACGCACTTTAAACGGAGATTGTTCAATTTTGTCGCGCTAACACGGCCTTGGAACGTTAGAATTTGGAACGTTAAAAAAAGTTAACACAGACATTGACGTTATATAAGACCACTGATGCAAGTTTATGAGACAAACCGCTTAATTGTTTTACTTTCACTGCCGCCTAATGTGAAGCACGTGTGCCGCTCTGCCAACATCTGCTCAGTCACAAATACCAGAGGCCAGTGGTACGTCTCAAAAAACTCCACATTCGGGAAATGATTAGAGGATGGACATCTACAGAAACTGTTGTGCCTATGTCTGCAGAAAAAAACATTACGTCAGGATGAATTTATGCAAGTGAGGGTATGATAACGAAGCCTCGCTTCGGCTCAGCATCAATTTGCAGGACGGACCCGCACTGAGATGTTTGGCCAAATTCCTTTCACGGGCGTTTGGCTTCGTGTGGGGCGGAGAGGGGAGCACCCGGAGACAAGTCCCCACGTGTGTGGGGGGACATCACTCAACGGCTCTGCACGATGGATTCGCAAAAAATCGAATGTACCGCCACATCCTGGTCACTTTGCAGCCTCAGCCAAACACAGCTGGTGCAGTATCGCCAATCAGTCGCTCGATCCAAGCGCTGAAGTAGCTCAACCTGTTCATCGTCCGCGATACGGCGACATCGAGGAGTCACGGCTATTTGGTCGGAGGCATAGCGCGCATTGGTAGCTCTGTGCCTCATCAGCCAAGTGGCCGCCCCTGCCACGGGAATGAGGATTTTCCACTGCCGTCGCTGCACCGTCAAAGGGGGCAGCTGCTGCCCGACCCGGCTTAGGGCAGCAAGACACGCGGACGTCGAGTCGACGATCGTGGCAAATTTGCAAGAGCCGTGCATAGACTTGTTGTGAGATGTGGGTACTGCCACCGCTCTTCGGCAGCACACCTGGGCCAGTGTGGAACCGTCGGCCAAATACCCTCTGTGGGCGCGGCTCTCTCTGGAGCTCCCCCCTAGCGGAGGCCCTTCCGCCAGCAGTGAGCGTGAGCAAGACATTGCAGAGGCTGCGTCTCTACCCGACGTAACACCGAAACGAGGAAAAACAAATGGCAGCGTACATTCGCTCGGCCGAAACGTTTAAGCGTTCGTCCCAGAAACTTCCCCCGATAGCCGGCACTACGTATGGGTGGATGAGGGGGGGGAGTCTGTGGATGACAGCGGCGTGTGCTCATTCGGCGAGCCTCCCGTGCGAGTGACCGGCTGAGCGCGCTCGTTTCAATCGCGAAAACATCGCAGGCGTTTAAGCGCCTGAGATGCCGTTCACCTGAATCCTTCGGAGTGGCTTTTTTTTGTTTGGGGTTTTTTGTCATTTTGTTGTATTAATTATGGAGGAGGAAGAGGAGGAAGAAGAGGAAGAGGAGGCAGAGAAGGAAAGGAAAGCGATACACACAAAGACGGTGTTAATTCACGGCACGGTACACTCCAAAGAAGAACAAAAACAAAAATCATCAGAAAAATTAAATCCACGCGTAAGAAATAGCCCCCGTTAGTTAGGAGTAGGCTGTGCCCATGCATTGCGAGAGACACAGAAAGCACAACAACAACAACAACGTTAGCGGCACAAAGTCACGGTACAAACACCATCGCCGTGACACCAAGGAAGCACGCATGCGCATGGTCAATCCGGTACTCAACCACGCACGGCATCGGCGCAGCACAAACGACACCACGGAAATAAAGGCAGCTTTTGGGACAGGGGAGAAATCACATTTCAGTGTTCATGGCTTCCTTTTGGAGTTTCTGTGCTTTGTTTTGTTTGGATTTTTTTCCGTTTAAGAGTTGCAAACAGCACCGTGACGACTGCTTGGATCTGAAATGGCTCGTTAAACGCTTAGCGCACGGAATGGGAGGATGTGAGCGGCAGACTCTGCAACAAACAGACAAGACAGACAGGTCCACGCACACACAAACACGCAAGGACACGGAAGCACAGAGTGGCTTCCCTTTCTCACGAGATCATCACAACGACAACAACAAAAAGAAGAGAACGGGTAACAAAAAAAGATAAAGCGAGAAAGAAGGCGATCGCGACAAACACAGCTGACCTCCTCCATCAGGAACTCGAGCAAACGATTCAAACGCATGGACGACCGACAAAGTAAAAATGCATTCATGTTCCAACGCAACGGACAAAGTGTCGCGACGATGTTTCGTCCCCAGCGACGACAAACTGTGGACAGGACAGGACGAACAAAAAAAAATGCGGACAAAGACACAGAGTTCGGGGGTCAGTGGGAACAGGATGCAGTCGCCGGCAAAGCTACGTCAGCGATGGTGCCGCTGGGGTAGGCGAGCGGATAATTGTGGAGAAGGGGCAGCGATGCCTTCGGAGCGCAACCAACACCGGGCGACGGTCCATGACGCCACCACGGCTCGACTGTCACCGACGACGTTTGCCGAACGGGCAAAGCGGCCGAGTATAAGCAGCGTGGATGAGAAGCACCTGCAGCTTATGCTGCGTGCACTCGTGCATCCGTATCTAAGCAACATTTATAATTGCCTACAGACAACAGCGAAATATCGACATTGTTGCGTCTCACCATGGCGGAACCACAATTCACGTCGCTGTACATCACCTATAAGCTGAAATACCGGCGACTTTTTGCAGAACATTAAGCAAAATTTGGCCGTATGCATCCATTTACAAATGCGTAAAAGAAATGCTCCAGTGTATTTTTGTGGTGGATTGAAAGCGATTTCGGGCCAATATCCCAGCAGATTAGCACCCTTTGGGTTGGTGAAGCATTCCACGCGTTCACACGTCGGCAATCCATCCGAGTGTAAATCTTCCTGATGTCACTTTCAGAATTACCGTCACGAGGGCTTCGCCAGTGAGACCGCAATGGCTTGGTTTGCTTTGCTGCGGCGAATGAAACCATTATCTTGTGAAAACCTTGCCGAGACTACAAACGTGCATCGGATGACGGGTTTAATATCGCTTTTTGACGTGTTATTCACTATGATTACTCATCGGCCATGGTCACTCTGCTGCTGGATGAGGGCCTTCCAATCTGTCGCAATCTCTCCCTATGCTACGATACAAGTGTAAATACGGACACTTCTAAAAGTAGAATTTTTTTTTATGTGCCACTCTTCACTGCTGTAATAGTGTAAAACAATTTATTTATCCATAAAAAATTACCAAATTTGAAGGCTCTTTTTCAAGAGGGTCCTACAAAGAGGAAAAATTGCAATTTCCATGGGAGGATACTTGAATTAGTAGCAGGAGAAACCCCGAGATTACGAAAGAGGATATAAAATTACCAACATAGTGTGCGCCTTGGTGGAGAGATGTTAACTACCTCGTCTGGTATGCAGGTGGTCGTGGGTTCGATCCCGACCCTTGCGCCTGCTGCTGTATATTTGTAGTTTACATGTTCTCCTTTGGGTCGCGTAGATTTTCCTCCGGGTCCTCCAGTTTTCCCCTCCACATTTAGAATCAACATCATGCGTTTTAGAGTATTTGGCTGCTATGAATTCCCACCTGATAATGAGCCACTTCGTTGAGCTATCATTTGTAGCCAGGTCACTTCTGAAAAAGAGCTATATAGCTCAGTGGGCCTTACCTGGTAAAAAAAAAATAGTTTAGTTTCAGTTTAGTTCTCTAGCAGGGGATTGACAATGAGCTGATGATTTACCCGAGTTAGCATGTATTTGAGTATTGCCTGAGGAGTGGTGCTTTGTCTCTTCTTGTGCACCAAACACATTCCAATAGCTGATCTCGCTCAGCAGGGATGCTACCCCGCTTGCTCGTTCGTTCTCTCGCTTGCTCGTCAGCTACTTATTTCGACTTTAACTGTGAAATTTCAATCGCGCACTCACCTGTGGATGCCACGGGTGCCTGCCATGTCGGACGTAAGCGCAACCGTTAGCGATCGGCAGGCTAAAAATCGTTGGCTTATGACGATGTGCAACACGTAGATACCGCTACCCCTGTTCTGACCGATGCGCACACGGTCTGTTCATTGTCTAACGGCCACTCGCCTCAAACATTTACAACTGTGAACCCAGCAGGTAGCACGCGCGACACGCAGAAGCTCAAGCACACACACGCAGACACCGGAGCAAGCGACATCGGTGCACTCGCCCAATATGCAGCATGCACAATCGACCAGTGGGAAGGCGTTCCGAAATATCAAGTGCGCACGCAACCTGCACGGGCGTAGTCTCTCTCGAGACCCATGCAAAAACAAAAGGGAGAGAGACGGAGGTCGACCAGGTTGGTGGGAGAGAGAAGGGGACCCGGTGCAGGATTTTAAGTTGGGGAGGGCAGAAAGCAAGGTCTGGGGACAGGCGCGGGAGGGAAAGTAACGGGAGAAGTGGGAGGGTAGGATCCGCGCTGATCGTGACTCTCGCTGCCGTCGCAGACACTCAAAGGGGAAAGGCGAGGGAGCTGGTGGAGGAGGGAGGTGGTGGAGAAAATTCTATTGAGAGGGAAGTTGTGGAAAATAAAAATGGCTGCTTAGGAAGATGTATTCAGTTAACCCAGAAATCCAGCCTCGGCCTGTTACAGATGAATTAGGCCTCTCGGTCAAAACTGTTACATTTGTATTGCCAACTTGAAAACCCTTTACTGAACCTGCTCTTCTGATGAAGCTCGTTCTTTTTTTATAATCGTTGAAGCATATTGTCATTCTGTACAGTGCTGTAGGAAGGACTAAAATGTCTAGTTTTTTTTTAAATCAAGCATCTAAATCAATTATTCTTTTTTAAACAATTTCCAAAATGTCAGGTGAATTTTTACATCCAACAAATACCCTTAATTGGGTATTACAACTTTTATTCAAACATTTCAAATAAAATATCTTGAGTCTTGAATTAAAGTTTTGGGAATAACTGACCAATTAGAATGTTTTTTTATGGATGCAGAGCAAGAATTTGAGTCACAAGTAGCAGCAACAAAAAAGCTAATCTTTAGCATTTGTTTGTCATTACAACTATGTAATTATACCACGAGAAAGATATCTAAAAATGACTCTATATGCATCAACACCTTGCCTACGTGTAATAAAAACATCGAGAATGAACGTACGATGGGATTACTGTTATTTTAATGCGATTCCCGATTAGGATGAATCATCCGTGAACGCACCGCTCCTGGAGGTAACGTCGTGCGTTTGTTTTTTGGCATTTCCGGATCGCGACTGCCGCAGATTTTAGCGCCGGATTATCACCTGCAGATTGACTCCGTGGAAGTTGTTAACCCCAGCGAGGTGTGTAGCCAGCTCCAAATCCTCGCCCACCCGTCACCACCGTCGCCATCATCTCCGCCTCTTGCTTTACAAGCGCCCCTTTAGGCTGTCCCCCTCGATATGCGGTTCACGCGGCGACAACAACAACAAAAACTTTCCGCACTACTCTCCGCTACCTGCCCAATGCCCCCCCCCCCCCCCCCCCGGCTCGCGTTTAACCCCCAACCCCGAAAAATAAGGAACTCAAAGGTCAAACCGAAACGCCTGACGGAGGCCCGCACTGCGTTTGTTTGCAGACACTGAGAGGGAAGAGTATGTTAGTACTCACGAATGGTTAAATTCACCACTTGGGAGGCCAAGCAGAAGACTGGGTGTTCATACATTTCCCTCTTTTTCCCTACAAAAAAAGGAGGATTACAACAAAGGGCGGCATGCAAGAAAGCTCAGGTCAAAGGTTACAAGCCGAGAAAGGGGGGGGGGGGGGCGGGGGCGGCGGAAACAAGGTGAGGGCAGGGAGGGGAACATTCGAGGGTCACACGGGCATGGTTCAGTGCAGCGTGAGGGTCAAGGGGTCAAGGTTGAAAGGTCAGGAGGGGGTTAAAGTTCAAGGTTCAGTGGGGACGGGCATAAAAGTCAAGTTTCTTTTGGGGAGGGGTGAGGGAGGTGAGGGGGGTCAGGTTTCCAAAAACTGGGTTTCAGGGATCATTGGAGGAACGCGCTTGAATTTCTGCAGCCGATGTTGATGACCGGACGATGAGACATAAAAAGAAAGAACGGAACACAATCGCTGGCGGTGGGTGGGTAGGGTGGGTGAATGTACGAAGAGAAAAGAACCGGTGCCATATACCGTGAGGCACTTCACAACCAAACGGGGAGACAGAGGCGGTGACAGCCAAGCGGGGGACGCGGTGCCTCGGAAACCCAAGCGGAATATTGGCAAATGTGAACGCATAGTGGGTTCACGCGTGTGTCGCTTGTACACAAAACCCCGTGTGGCCGCTCGCAAACAGCCGGCTCAGCTGGTACGAGCGTCCCAGCTGAGCAAAATGCACACGCTGTCCGTGCTAGCGTTCGCATATCTACACGTGCATATGAGCATACACGCGTGTGTGCGCACGTGAAACGTTCATGTTCAGGTTATTTATAGAGGACGGGACAAATATATCCTTAAATTCCATAGGCAAATACTGCTGTGTATATGTGTATGCATATATATAGATACGTACATATGTGAAAAATAAATTTAAGTGGAACAAAGTGGCTTGGTTAAGATAATACTTTACGAGTAATTTAATTACACACAACCCAAAAAATAAAAAATAAACTTTGCGTAAGCTCTGCATGAACACGACTGTGGTTTCTGAGTGGCAGTGGATGGCACGCGACACACTTTGACTCACTATAATCCAGTCCAAATACGATTGTATACGTGTCTATGTCACGTTGTCCCAACAGGGCCGAGATGTTAACTACCTCGCCTGGTATACAGGAGGTCGTCGGTTCAATCCCGACCCTGACGATGCCTGCTGTATATTTGGAGTCTGTGTGTTCTCCCCGTGGCCACATTTATAAAAACTGGTAAAATAAAAAGTTTCTAGTTTTTCTTTTTTATAGTTTTACATGCTGACAAACAAAGTTGATAATGATGGTTAATCTAACTTAAGCACTGAATTCCATCTTTTTTTTAATTCTCTTCTGTCTCGTGCACATCGTAGTCCCACTAACCTGGTGACCTAACGCAAGGAGGCCATACGAACCCAGGAGGAAACCCTTCCCCGTGAGACAGAGTCCGAGGGCTGACCGGCAGCGCAATCGGAAAAAGCCGATGGGGCAGCAGCCGTCGCTACGCGTTCCACGTACAGCGACAATGTGAATGCATTTTTACTTTGAGCACAAATAAAAAACGTAAGGTTAAATATACATACATAGAGAAAAAAAAAGATACACCGTATATAAAAAATGGCTAATAAGAGAAGACGAAAAAAAACTCCACAATTGCTTCAAATTAAACTGGAGCCCTGAGCGGCGAATGAAAGACAAAATGAGCATCGCGTCACAATGTCGTGTTCGCCATTGTGATCGTCATCAGTGTCAGCATCGGAAACCTGCACTCGCGACTCACTCTTCAGCGTTACCCCCCCCGAAGCCGTCGGCCGTGTGGCCGTGTCAAAGTCAAACTCTGGGGGGCAGGGGTGGCGGTGGCAGCGGGGGGCAACGACTTGGCTCACGTCGTCGAGATTCACGCGACTCTTGAGGTCGGATCAGATTAATTAAAATCGACGGTTTACATCGCTCTCCCACTTGGTTTTCAGTCTCAAACGCGTGTCTGATTGGACGTGGCGCCCGACAACACTACACGTGCCGGGGGAAGGGGGGGTCGGGGGGGGGGGCGAAACGTCGGACGTCGTACGGAACAACACGCGGGACAACCTGACCGCGCACAGGAAAGCTTCACAGCCAGGCTGCGAAGACCTGCGCCGTCGGAGTGCACAGCACGGACCACAGAGCTGACGATCGGAATTTGAGAGCGGCACCTGGATTATTTTTGTTTGTTAGATCCCTGCTGGTTACAACGGGTGCATGCGCTGACCACGAGATATCTGTTATTGGATGAGCAGTCGTTTTGAAAGCGACGCACTGCGACTTCATGCACCGGCCTTTTGCATCTCGATCAATGCAGGTTGGTCACGTGAACCTAGGGAACGTGAGCGCGGGCAACTTCAGTAATCTGCCATCACGCGAGGGCTCTGCCTGGAAAGGAGAGCTGGGAGACGAGGTTAAGCAAACATACACGACAACAAACTTACATCACAACAACAACAACAACAAACAACAGCAGCCGTTGTCGCCGCTGAGCGACCGCGACATCACCGCAGCGCTCCTGCGAGGCGAGGTAAACCTCGTGGCAGTCACACGTGAATATATACACGAATGGGAAAAACACGCACACACGCACACGCGCACACGCGCGCCGCAATGATCCACCGGTAGACGGTGAGAGAGAGTGAGTGACGTTAGCGAGTGCTGACTCAGGCCGACACTTTGAGAGTTGGTGACAGCAGCACCGCCATTGCCTGGCAACCTGCATCGCGCGAGCGTAGGAGTTTACACATTGCACCAGCTACTCATTGAAGGCCGAGTCGACTTAAAAGGAGGCCGATGTCAAGCTTCGCGTATACGGTATGCGTCGTATAGAATTCCACTCGTGCGGATGCGCAGGAATTGAGCCCAGGTTAGCAGAATGGCAGTGGAGTAATGCTCATCACTACACCTGCTGACATACATTTGGATTTTACATTAAAATGAATAAGATAGAAATGTATGCCGCAACATACCCATCTGTATATATTGCTTAGCTTATGCGAAAGTTGTTTAAGCCGTAAACTATTTATAAACTCGTACGTTAACCTAAAGGACCGATGTTAACCTTAATGAAACATTTTAATTGAGCCTGACTCAAAGCCACGGAATTTTATTGAAAATATGATACATTGACAAAACATAACTTGATAACTGAAACGTGCTTTTTCAACATTAGGGAAACGCTTCGCCCCTCTCCTTGACCCTAGTTTACGAGCTGTGCACGTCTGTTAGATGAACACCGCATGCACACGTGTTGCCTGTGACTCTCAAACAATATATACGTACTCTTTGGGTCTTTCGGTAAAGTCACGTAGATAGAAAAATAATAAAATAATAATATACGTGTAAATGCTTGTACAAAAGTAATCGGACCTTAAACCCCGTGTGAATGCATCAAGAGAAAAAAAAATAGGTGTACAAACAACAAGATTGAAAAGGCGTGCAAGAAATAATAATTTTAATAAAAGCAAAACTACAAAGTAACACAATAAGCGGGACATCTTGAATAAACGTAACAGGCACTGCACACGCAAGCGCGGCCCATCTCAAATCAGTCGCTCACACAGCGATTATTGCTACATTGTTTATTCGTGTGAAGGGGTTAAAGGAAATGTTTGTGAATAATTCTCCATCTGTGGCACAGCTGGTGTTTACAGTCTGAAGACACTTTGCGATTCCTGCTTACATGCCTTTGGGCAAGATCAACAAATCAGCATTCACACCGTTCCAAGGAAATGTAATTTCGAAAAGATTAAAGCCCCCACTCTGTAGACCTTCTCTCTCTCTCCGTATCTCTGGCAACCCACACGCAGTGCTTTCAGGTAGAGGTGTGCCAGGTGTTGTCATCGAACTGGCTCAGATATTCCAGATTTGATGAGATTTTTTTTTACGAAAAGGGCCGTTAGGTTCAAACCCATGTGCCTGCCGTTGCATATGAACACTGTGAGACGCCCAGATCGAGTATTGCGCGCCCAACAGCACCCACGTTGCATTTGCTGGTGTCAATTTTCACGCCGAAAAAAAGCCCACGCACACACGCATACGCCGAGGTCTTCATTGTATGACATCAAATGATGTAACCTAACAGACATTCACGAGAAAATCAGCAGGCCACGTGAAAGATTCCGTGATTATTCACAACAGGCATTTTAGACATTCATCACTGACGCAGACGTGTTAGCAACACGACACACTGCAGCAGCAGCAGCAGCAACGTTTTCCAAATCACGCCCGCACGCACATGACCAACAACGTTCAGATGTAGTCAGCTTCCAGCGGCAGCAAACTCTGGAAACATTGCGACCAGACGACAGCCTTGAAGAAAACCCGGAGGTGAGTGGACAACAAATCCAAAACAACAACAAAATATTTAGCACAAACATTTGTGGGTAAGAGGACTGAGCTGCGTGGAGGTGGCAGCTGGAAGGTGAAGGAGGATCAGGCCTTACCTTCGATCTTGGCGTACTCGGAGAGGCGGGTGTAGTTGATGAGAGCTGCCTTTTCCAGACACACCTGGATCACCGCTTTCACCTCCTCGGCCGGCACGGGCGTCACGATGTCCTTCATGAGCACCTGCAGGGCATTACGCGCGTCAACGTCAACAGCGCGAGCACGCACGATCACTCCGCTGCTGGATGAGGGCGCCGGCTCCTCGAACTGTGGCCGCCTCTCACGGCCCTGCGCTGGATTGATCCACGCGCGCACGAGTCGATTTCATCGCTCTATCTCCGCGGTGGCCGTCGTCTCGGGCGGGTTCCATTCCACCGTTATTCTTGTGAGAGGCAGCCATGATCATATTTACTTACCAGGAAAGTCTGAGGACTCTGATTCGAGAGGGTCACGCGCTTTGAACGTTTGGCCAATCCTACGGATGTTTAGCGTGTGGGAGGAAGCTGGAGTGCTTGGTGAAAACCAATGCATACGAGGGGGGGGGTGGGAACACTCAAAGCTCCGCACAGATAGATTCAAGAATCCTGTGCTGTAGCGCCATCTGCTGGCCGCCTTGCTAGGGCTGCGAGTTTGGACTTTACCCGCTCGAGAAGAGAAAGCGTGGCCTTGAGTGCCCCCTCTGGTCGTCCAAATGGGAAGCAATACCTGCACGACACAAAACGCAAACAGTGGACAGAGCATCAAACACATCGTCGTCGTCGTCATCGTCGTTGTTATGGTTTAGAATCAACATCACGCGTTTGACAGTATTTCGCTGCTCTGTATTTGTATGTGATAAGCCACTTCGCTGAGATATTATTTGTGGCCAGGTTGCTTCTGAAAAAGAGCTGTACAGCTCAGCGTGTCTTACCTGGTAAAAATAAAAATAAAGTTTTTAGTTTAGTTTATTACGACCGTTACGATGCTTGTTTACCCAGGAAAGCGTCATTGAGTCTCATGACTCTCCTGCCAGGAGGGTCCTGCCTCCAGACAACGTTCTCACAGCAGGGGGAAATGTTTGCGATGTGTGATCCTCATTGAGTCACCTGCAAGGTCGTTTATCACCATTTTTACAAAATTTTGCTTAAATGGAATTCTTTTGATGTGATGCATTTCAAGCGTTTACTGTTGAGAGCGCACGGCAACAAAGATACATTTAAGAATTGTATGTGTATACTATCACAAAGTACAAGTCATAGTCTACTATAAGAAAAACACAAAGATCTCCCGTACAGCCTGAAACAGACTGTTGGGGCAAGTGCTGTTAGCGAGCAGCACCTATGCAGGCCGGCACAGCACATGAGGGGGAGGGTGGCTAGCACCACGCGAAGTTTACTACACACCACACCAGGTACTCATTTGAGGCTGAGTCGATATGGGGGTAGCCCAGGACCGGTTCAGATAATCTTCACCGATGTTGGCCGTGAGAGGGAATCGAACTCGGGTCGCCAGGTTCTTAGCGCGGCGCGCTAACAGCTACACTCCCGCTCCCCACAATGCAGATTCACACGCATGTGGAAAACACTATACTATACCATTTTTATTTTACCAGGTAAGGCCCAATCCGCTACATAGCTCTTGGTCACAAAATCGCGAATCTTTCCAAAGCTGTCAAACTTCTCTATCCCCCTGTAGCCCAGGCAAACAATCGATATGTGAATTGGCTCGATATGCATCAAGTGCTGTTGTTGATTGGTAAACATGCAAAGTTGTACCCTTAGGGGAGCTGACGGGACCAGAGTAAATGATGCCTGCGCTAATGAGAAAGTTGGTTGTTTTAAGCCAATTTCCTCTCCAGAGGTTAGCGTGTCAGCCTGCAAGGTGTCTGTACCCAGCTGATGTTAATCAACCACCCAAACAAAGAGAGATCTGCGGCAGCCTTTGGCAGAACTCAATTCTGTTGTCAGAAACAAATTCATCTTCAGAGTAGTAAACAACCTCTCAGTGCAACCTTGAATGCGGCTCACGGGGAAACTAATATCGTTCCCTTCCCCAGCAACGGAATGAATTTCGTTTGAAGACGCTTCTGTAGGGAAAAGCAGCGGCACGGTGGATAGTGCACTGAACCCAGCGACCCGAGTTCAATTCCCGGCCACGGCTGACATCAGCGGCGAGCGATGTCTGGGCTGGAGCTCGTTCTCTCCTTCGCCAGCTGACCAGTGGGGCCAGAACAGCCCCATCGTCTGGAGCGATGGAAGGTTACGCCTTCATCCAGCAGTGGATTGACAAAGGGCTCACAGCGCACGTACGTTTGTAGCCGTACGTGTGTCACCGTATGTGTGTGAACAATACGGAAGGCGGTTCAGTGGTGAGTGCACTGCTGTGACCCCGAATACCTGAGTACACAAATCTCAGTCGGGGTGAACATCATTGGGGAATCTTATTTGGATACGTTACGGGAGCCCCAACTTAACCAGCCCGCACTAATCAAAGTGGTGAAATATGGACAAACAACAAAAGTGGTGAAGTGTGGACCAACAAACGGCCAAACAACGGCCATGTCCGACAAAGTGTAACGGAGGCCTTCCAGAGCTGTATGTACGTATGCATGCTGAATTTCTTTCGCACCGTACGTAGCCGACCGTGCCAATCAGAGGTGCGGCAAATCAGAGCTGTACAATCAAGCTCGACGCTTGCATGCGTCCGGAGCGCGTTGACGATTCCCCAACCCCGACAGCCGCTCGCTCGCCGGCCGGCACGGCTCCGAGCAGTCGGCTGAGCGAGCTGCGCTGCGACAATATTGGCCACAAAACTCCATCTCGCGCGTAAAAGAAAAAAAATTAACGACGGCTAATTATGGGGGTAACGCCACCTTCACCACCAGCAGCAGCAACTCCACCTCCGGTGCCAAGAAAGAGAAGAAACCCACCACCACCAAGCGATAAAAACCTGCTTCCAGCAACCTCCGTGCTCGCCCACGCCCCCCCCCCCGGAGGACGCGTTCACTCGCAGTCCTCTCTGCGCTGCTGCTGCTGCCTAAGGTGGGGAGAAGTGAGAAGGAGCTTTCTGGGAGGAGAGCGGCGCTCCTCGGCAGTGCTAATTATCACCTAATCAGCGGAGGAGGGGAGGGGAGCCTCGGACGCACAATGGAACGGCCCAGGATCCTCATCATTTCTCGCTGGACCCCTGGCAGTCGTCGATGGCATTAACATAATCCCTTCTGTTTACATCTCAAATGACATGGACTAATCTACGGGTAAGCCTGCGTGCCCGTGAAAGGCCCCTTTCAGCCAGGGCTCGGAATTAGGCTCGCCCACGGCCAACGAATCGGTCCCAGTGGAGAGTGGCGGCCGTCGTAAATAGTCCCATTCAGGGCTCTGTTCCATGGCTCGCTGCGTCTCCCAATAGGACAGCGAGCACGTGTATGTATAGTATGTATACACACACACGTGTGTGTATATATACTATACATACACGTGTGTGTGTAGTAAAAACGTAGTGTGTGTATATGTATGCTAAGGCGAGGTCCCCATGGCTGGTTTTGCGTGATAAAAACAAAATTTCAGGAAGAAAATGTTGCATACGCTGCCTCGTCAACAACAACAACAACGCAGCCGCAGGCACCTCCAGCTACCTTCACGCCCATCCAGCCACGCACCCATCTCCCTCTCTGCCTCACTCCTAACATCAATGTTGTTGCGTGCATTGTTATCGTGACTTCTCACACTTCTTCTTCTGCTGCTGCTGCTACCTTAGCGGCGAGTTAAGCCGAGGTCGGGAGTGCGTCAGCCCCGTGGGCGCTGGCGATCCTCCCGCCCAGCTCGGCCGGAGTCTATCGCCAGTGAATAGCGGCCCGGGCCGGTGGACTTAGTCGCGGGATTACCACCATCGTGTCTCGTCGCCTCACCGGGCGTCTTCGCCAAACAACGAGAACGCTCGGACAAACATTTGCAGGAGGGAGGGAGGGAGGGGGGTGGCCCGTGGTGAAACCGTCGGGGTCGCCAAAAGAGAACAATGAGCAAACAAATACAACAAATAGGGGGAATTGTGATTCGTAAATTGATTTTTTTTTTGGTCTAACACGGAGGAGGCTTTCGCGACCAATATCATCCGTAAGAGGTTTTTGGGTTAAATCGCGTAAATATATAAATGTGTCGTTAAACCCGCCACCACCCGACACAGCCAACTTTGTAAGGGTTGTCACGTCAACAGAACGTGGCCAATTCGTCACTAGTACAGCACTAATCGGTGTTTTGAAGAGCCAAGCCACAACATTTACAATCTGAGTACGACGTTTCGCCAGTAATTACAACTAGCTTCATTAGTTGGCTGTGTCGGGTGGTGGCGGGTTTTAACGACACATTTATATATCTATGCGATCTAACCCAAAAACCTCTATTATTGATGATTTTGTTGGGTTAGTCCACGTAACGATGTGGGTAAATACGTGCCGTAATTCGTTCCACCACCTGGCACAGCCAAACAAAATTAGTTTGCCACGTGCAGCAAGAGTTGAACGCGCCCATTGTTATTGTTTGAGCTCACAATGGAAGGTTGAAGGGCGATTCTCACGGTGAAACTTATCAGGAAATTAAATACGCGACGCTTCGCTTGAAACTCGGCCAAGCAACTTTAGGACAAGATGCAGATCTACTTATTAAGCTAACAGAGAATTCCATAAAATTTAAACAAATAAACCAATACATGGAGCCAAATGAGAGCGCACAGAAACAATAATCTTTTACAAGGGAGCCCTGTTGTGCAAAACAATGAATGGTCAAAAAATTCCAAGCAGATTGATGAAACACTAAAAATATCTACAGAAAGTGAGCACGCGGAATTCGTTGAATTAAATAGAGAATGTCTAAAAACGCAAACAAAAGCAATATTACAATCTTGGACATGTTATCGTAGGACATTTGACAGTTGTGAAGCTACATTGTTGAATTGTTACGGTGCTTAAATGAGCACGTGCTTTGGTTATTAATAATAATACAATGTAATAAAAATACAATGGATTAATAAATACGTATTCATAACAATAATACAATGTAATTATAATAATACAATGTAGTCATAATAATACAACGTATTTATAATAATACGTCATGCACGAATTTTATCCGTGCATGACGTATTATTAGCAGCTTGTGGCAAACCAGGTGCGTTTCTGCGGCCGTCTGGAATGCTCTTTCTTCCGTTATTCGTAAGGCACTGGAGCTACGCACTTTTAAATCTTATTTGTAAACTAATTTCTTCAGAACTGCCTTGTGTTTAGTTTGTTGTCCTTCCCTCCGCACCTCCGATTAGCACGGTTGGCTACGTACGGTGCAAAAGAAGTTCAACATACATGAAATAAAACGATAAGAGACGTGGTCTGCGGTGATTAACGTGACCACGACTGCGATGACAGCGGGATGGGCCTGAACGTGAAGTTCGCTGATCGACTCTTCCCGCTCTGCAAGGTGTGTTAACAGCACGAGCTACGAGATCGTGAATTTTCATCGGATGATTACCGGAGCTCTAGCCTCTCCGTGTTAATGGAGTGCGCGTTAAAGACCGCACGGCACACAATTCCCGCGCGCCGGTGATTTAATCCACACATATCCAAATATGAAAGGAGAAAAGGAAAAAAAACCCACAAAACACAAAACATGGGGGCGAATGAAACTGTTTTCGCACACTTTGTGCTTGAAGACGTTTTTTTTTCATCGCAAATGAGATAATGAATCTGAATGGGTCTCTCACCTGGCTAAATAAAAGGACATTTGAATGTATTTGTTATGACCATTGTGATGAGTGTTTTTATGCCGACGGGGGGGATAAATTCACATGCCGCTTTCGGTGTGTGAATGGAGCCGGCTTATGAGATTATAGTCTGCAAAGATTTAGGTAAAGAATGAACTCAGGACGAACCCATCCACTGACAAACGCACGCAGCCAGGAGAAGTTAATGAGAACAAATCCGAGAAAAAATGTTCCCTGGCTTTTGTAAAAAGGAAAGATTGAGAAACCAAGCGGAGCACAAAAACCCCCGCACCGCGCCCAACTGTGAAATCACAAAGAGAGAAACCCTGGGAAAGGGGACTGGAGGTCTGCTTGTCGCAGCAGCAGCAGCAGCGCAAGGCACGTCGTAAGAGACCCTCTCCACACACCAACACTTCCTTACTCCTGCTCGTTACGAAACTAAACGGGACGTTTTAAATACATTTAGCAAACATTGTTATTAATTGCTGTTCTTGTTCTTGTTGCTGTACGTCAAGTCGGTAAGTCCAGAGTGAAAGTGTCGTCCCCCCCGCCCCCACCCCGTGGCAAAATGCTCGCCGGAGGCATTGCTCATTTCTGGCGGTGGCCCTGAGCCAGTGGTGAACGTTGCTGCTTGCCATGGCGGAGACAGCCAGCGAGCGCATTTAGAGAGTTTGGCTGCTATAAACTCCCACACGATAAGCCACTTTGTTCAGCTATCATCTGTGGCCAGGTCGCTTCTGTAAAAGGAGCTAATAGCTCAATGGGCCTTACCTGGTTAAATAATTATAGTTTAGTTTGGATTTTGCTTGCTATGGCAGTAAGCTCAACTCCGTGAAGGTGGGGGCCAGATCATAAAATCCCTGCAGTCTGCCACCCTCATTGATAAGTGTGCCAGCCCCTATACCAGTGGTGGAGCTGTCGAGTAGCGTACAGGCGGTGCAACTGCACTGGGCCTACGGGCCAGAGGAGCCCTGGCGCCAACATATGAAAGAGATGGAGGGGGGGAGAACTGAATGCAGGGGCCCTATCTGCTACCTTGCTCCAGGGCCCATGCCAACCACACTCTCCTACCACGCCTAGCCTGTACATAAATAAACATCATAGAAAAAAAAACAATTTAAAATTTTTTTTTATTACAACACACAACTTCGATAATTGTAAAACTTTAATCTTGTGCCCAATGTTGGAATTACTCGAGTCGGAAAGTAGGGTTGAGCATCTGTGGATATTTCTCTTGAAATATGGACTCCGTAGTGAGCCCCTGTGCCACTGTGCACGTGTAGCAGACTATTAAATAATAAACACGAATAATTTACACATCTTTGCAAATGCACAGTGTGTGAAGGTCTGCCCACATCGCGTCAGCCGTGGGGGTTGGTTTGACCATAGCTGACCACGCCGGTCAGTTAACGGCGAGTTCAGCTTGGGGAATGGTGACCCAGGACTGATATCGCACCTCCGATTAGCACAGTTGGCTACGTACAGAATAACAAAAGCTCTACGCCAAGTCACGTCAGAAACCAAACCGACTCTGTTCAAATGCGTTCGGAGTTTTGTCGGAACACGCATCATAAATCGATCCATGGAGGCGTTATATCAATATCGTAAATGTGGACCGTCATACATTCGGAAACCGCCTGTATATCCGTTGAAAACCCACCCATATGAGACGATAGCACTCTAAGCTCCGCACTCTAAGCTCCGTATAGTTCATGTTGTATTTCATGTGTAACGCTCTCACCACCGTCGACGGCACTCACCGGAAATGTGTGATCTGATTTTCGAGCAGGCAACGCAGCCGTTCCTTGACCTCCTCAAACGTTTCTTTCTCGTCCACGATCACCGTTCCGATGCCATCCGGCCTGCCAGGTGGGGAGGTGGGGGGACAGCCCGCGTGAGGCGCCGCAGTCGCGGGCGGCAAAAGGGCGACAACATTGAGACGAGCGCAAGGAGCCGCCACCTCTGTGGCTACACAGATCCAGGGCGCAACACGGGGGAGGGGTGGAGGAGATCTCAGAGTCCCGGGAGAGGGGTGAGCCACACGTAAATGGGTCGTCGTTTTTGAGCGGCGGTTTATTTACGCAAGTGACAAAAGGTAAAAAATACACAGTGCTCAAGGGTCACCTTCTTGTCGTGTGGTTGGCATGGGCCTCGGGGGATCACGGTGCGTCTCAGTGCAGTTGCACTGCCTGCGCACTTGTGCCCGTGTCTTTTCTCCTTGCTGAGCATTACAGACGTCAAACGGTGCTCTTTTGTACAAGACGTTACAACAACTGGAGATTTGGACAGGAGCTCAATACACAGCGTCATGTTTTTCCACCTGGACAAATTCTGCTGGCTGGTTAACAAACGCAAAAAATGTTCACATTTCTCAGGACTTCCTTATATTTCTGTAAAAATGTACATGTAGAATTGTGAAAATCAGTCACAGTGTCTAGTTTGTCGTCCTTCCCCCGCACCTCCGATGAGCACGGTTGGCTACGTACGGTGCGAAAGAAGTTCAACGTACACACATACAAAATGCCACCACCAAAGTCTTAGACAACTTCGCGTAGAGTGGGTTGCACGGGCCCCAGTGCAGGCAATGAAACGGGCCCTGCCCCACCCTCTTCGTACCCCGGAGATTACAGGGCCTCCATGGCCCCGTACGGGGCCTCTCCTGGCCTCGTCGACTCCGGTGCAGGTGCACCGCCTGCACACTCTATCGCTGTGCGACTGTCCAGGGGTGCGACGGTAAACGAGTGGGTACGTTCAGTTCGGGTTGACTTTGACACCGAACCATCCGGCCGGTTTCGAACATTCCGTAATGAAACCACTTTGCGTGAATGTGAAAGCTCAGCAATGCATGCACACGATGCATGCGGCCAAATCACATGCAAGCGTTGTAATCGCGTGGCCTTTGTGAGCCAATCGAGCAGTGAGGAGCAGCGCGTGTGATTAGCGGGCGACTTTGCACCGCGCCTGTGGCGACCAATGTGGCGGTTCACCACATCCGATGGCTTCGCTTGCCGAGTGTTACCCAAACCATCGAGAGCACAGACTTCTCAAACTTCGCCTCTTGTTGCCCCCCCCCCCCCCCCCCCCCATATCGCAGAGCCTGCTTTATTTGATCACATTTACCAGGACTATGCATATTGATATAAATTAGATAAAGGGCACGTGTAGGATAAGTATTCGCATTCATAGGGTGTGCAAATGTCTCAGCAGCAACTCAAAGCACCTTCCATCATTTCTCATCTCGACCATCCTAATTCCCTGCTGCAGTCTCGCCAAGGGCACCCACCAGAAGCGGCTGTCCCTGTGCAGCACGAGGTGGACGCGGTAGTGGCCTGCGGTTGGGGCATTAGTCTGCCGGCAAGGGCCAATGTTGCTATGCGGTTTTTTATTTGCCACACAAGTAATTTGCGAGAAATGTATTCGAACTCGGCCAATTGGACCGTGATGCCGGCGACCACGGGTGGGCCTGCTCTTGGCGGGAGAGCGCCACGGGGGATCTTTCTGCGTTTAGCGCTGTCGCCCTTCCCCCCGCACCTCCGATTAGCACGGTTGGCTACGTACGGTGCGAAAGAAGTTCAACGTGCGCACGTACGTCCTCTCCGAAGCAGGCGGCGCGCACGATCGCACGAGTGACACAGGCGCAGTATTTACCAGGGCGGCCGCTGCTGAGTTCGAACCCGAGGATCTCGGCAACGAGCGGCACGTCGACTTCCACGGCACGCCGGAGGGCACCGGGAGCAGAGTTTGCAAAACGCCGGATTCTTCCGCAGCAGTGATTACGCGGCCACAGCACGAGACGAGACACCGCAGGGGCTTAAGCAGTTTCTTTTTTTACAAATTCCCCGCTGTAGTTACTGCCGCTTATTTAGTTCAAGCGTGTTTTTTTTCTTCCCCCCCCCCGGAACGAACAACTAAATCTCCGCACAATCAAGGAAGACAGCCCGAAAATGATCTTACAACGCATATGTCCCATTACCGATCGTGTTCACGCGGTGTAATCCAGTCGGGAGACAAGGACATTCCGTGCCGTGGAAGGGACGCTGGGGCCGGCCGTACACAATCACCACGGGGGCCGGCCTCCCGTCTGGCTCGCGGTCCGTGCCGTTCATCGCGAGGGGGATTGAAAATGAGCAATTTTTAACGGCTTACGAGCGTTCGCAAGAATATGCTGCTCGACAAACCGCTCCATCACTTCGCGCTCCGAGCGCGTATTTTTACACGATTACACGGAACGCAATATGCCTTTTACACGCAGCGAGGAATGTAGATTAACAGCGCGTTGACGTTCACTCGCGTGATTGCTGTTTCGTTAACAACAAAATAATTCCCAAGTAAAACATGTTTTAATAATGATGATGATGACAGTAACAATTGTGCTATTGCGAATAAATAATTGCAATTTACACGTTTTCAAAATGCATCACATTTTACATTTATATTGTCCATATTAAAGTGAAAAAAATCTATATATATGACGTTTGAAACGTTCGTAAAATGTTTCAGCCAATTCACCATTTTTTCTATTTCTAGGCGGACTACGCAACTGAAATTTTCACTGATCCTCCCACAGTTCGCCAATTGACAGGTCGTGTGTGGTGGGGTAAAGTGTGGGCAATCTCCCACCTCTCCTGTCCGACGACCGCGTTGCTGCACGCATCGTAGCATTGTGATTTTCTATAATTGATATAATGTACGCGTGTGCATGTTGAACTTCTTTCGCACCGTACGTACGCCACCCACCCTGATAATGCACCCAATGTGGAGTCGAACAGAAGAGCGCAACGCGGTCATTGAACGGTGGCCGCGCGCGTTCGCGCACCAACACTCTCCCCCACCGCAACAAAAATCACACAAAACACACGTCTGCCGTGTCCGTGTGTTTCCTCTCCCGTGTGTGTGTGTTTTTTTTGCTTCTTCAAGAACAGCACGTAGTACACAACCCGGACGCGAACACACGCGCGCACGCAAAGCGGACCGCGTCGCGTGCGTGATCGTACGTGCCGATGTTTAGGAAGCCACGATTCATATCTTGAGACTTATCTCACCGCGGCTACTTTTTGTTGTTGTTGTTGTTTAACCATGGCAGAGAGCGAGGGCTCCCGCGGGAGGCGGGACGCGGGCTGTGCCCGGCGAGCGTAGAGTAACGGGATGGGCCAGATAATGAAGTGGCGTCTTTGGTCACCGGAGGTTAAACCTCTTGGCAAAAACAAAAATCCCGAGTTTGCCTGTCATTTCCTGAAAAACGCTAATCCGGGCTTGGGCTGGGGAAGGGCAGATGATTAGTGTGGCCCGATCACTGCTCCCTCCCTCCCTCCCACCCACCCACCCTGCCTCCCTCGCCCACTCGTCCGCCCACACGCTGCCCTCACCCCCACGACTCTGCGTCGCTCCACACAGACCCCCCGACCTGCACGCAGCGGCTCTGTCTGCGAGCTGCCCTGCCGCCGTTGACACGGACGTCGTGAACGCATACTCTTTGGTTCTTTCGGTAAAGTCACGTAGGTGAAAAAAATTAAAAAAATTAAAAACTTGTGATTTAATTTAGTTGTTTTCATTTTTCATTTATTTTATTTTATTTTCACCTACGTGACTTTACCGAAAGAACCAAAGAGTATGGATCATTGCAGTCACGAAAACTTCAAGTCGTGAACGCACACACACACGCATACACACATGCACACACACACGCACGCACACACGCATGCCTACGGACACACACACATACGCGCACACACGCGCACACACACACGCACACGCGCGCCGCGCTCCTCAGCACCTTACTCCGCCACCGCGGCTGTCACCAGTCGGGACACTCCGACAGACATGAAAGCACCTGCACTCGAACTCTTGGCGACTTTTGGATCGTCTCGGGAGATTTCCCGCCTCAACCTCGTGCTTGTTAGAGCTGCATGCGAACCGGCGTGCCCCGTAATAAGGCTCACGGCAGAGGTTAATTTGTGGCGATTGTTCGCCACAGGAGAAAGATAAAAGTGACATTGAGGATGAACTCTCAGAGGCACGAGACCTCGAAAAGGTCAAGCAACAAGGCCTTGGCAAAGATTATTTTAATCTCTCTCTCATCTCTCTTCGTTATAAACCCGTGGAATTGTGCAGCTCCCGAGTTCTGCATCAAAGTGTGTGATCTCCAGGCAGATAACGCAGATTTCGAGCAGGGCTTTGGGAGCGGAGATGACCACAGACATATTTCGGCTGACCTCTGTGCATCAGACGAATTGTCGAAGTGCACGTTGTAACGTGAAGCTGTTTTGATTCGCCTGCTTTCCTTTCCGTAACTATCAAGCTGAGCACGGTCGGCTACGTACGGCGCGAAAGAAGTTCAAAGTACACATGCACAACAACTACGACGCGCTACCGTCAGCTTCACAGTGGAGGTTAAAAATCCCCTGACGTCATTGGCAAGAGCCGGCCACTGTCTGCGAGGGGCATTGTCCAAATTTGCCAAGTTAGAAAAATGAACGGCAGATTACTCAATTGGGATCATACGCACTGGAGAGCAATCATCTCGGCCCCCCCCCCCCCCCCCAATTGCGAAAAACCTGAGCGAGGCTTTCCTGGGTAAAGATGAATAATTAATAATTACAAATAGTATGAAGAATTTACAGCCGTGTGTGTTAATCCACTGCTAGATGAAGGCCTTCCCCAGCTGTGTACGCCACAGGGGGTTGTTTGACCATACTTCACCACGCTGGTCAGTGGCGGTTGGTGGGGGAACCAAAAACGTCTCAGATACCACCGATTCTAGCCATGGCCAGGAATCAAACTCGGGTCGCCAGGTTCATATCGCAGCACGTGAACGTAGCGCTTTACACTCAGTTCATGACAATGAATGAGCTGAATTTAGCGTTAGCAGAGACATCCATGAGAAACTTCATTACATCAGAATTCAAACACGTGGTTTGTAAATACGATTAATAATGGTAATGTTCAAACAACAAATTACTTTGAATATTTCCTGACAAAATTTGTTATGCCAAACTGTGGATGATTGAAACGTGAAAAATCGTACGCAAGTCTTAAAGCAGTACTGAGGCTTTTAGACTCATCAGCACTTATTTTTAAAATCTTAATTTCGTAAAGAAAAAGGTGCAGCGCTGCAATTTCCTGCTCACACCACTGTTGCCAGAAGTGCCTCCCCTAAAGGGAGCTCTACAGCCCCTCTAGAGGGTAATTGGCCTTCTCTTCCATGCTAGAGGATGTGAGAGCACTCACTCTTTACTCCATCACCGGTACATTTACTATTTACTTTAATTAAGTGTATGATTCTGGCAGGCTGTATGAATGTTAAACTTATTTCGTGCCGTACGCAGCCAACTGTGCTAATCGTAGGTGTGGGGGAAGGACAACTACCTAAACATGAAAAGCAGTTCTAAATAAATTAGTTTTCAATCTGGATGATTTAAAAGTGCATAGCTCCAGTGGCTTCCTAATATTGGAATGAAGAGCGTTCCAGACGGCCGAAAAATCGCACCTGAAAGCGCGCGATGCGCTGACCGTCATTGTTCACTGGCTAGCCAAAGGTGTATAGTATATCATGCAGCAACGTGTAGTGTATTCTAATGGAGTGTATTCTCGAGTTGTGTATATAGCATCTGAAAGCACGCTATGCAGTGGCCGTCTTTGTTCGATGGCTAGCCAAAAGCCGCTGCTGCCAGGATGACCGGAGTTTGCTCTTTAGTGAGGGAAGGTCACTTTGCCCGTGTAAAGCAACGCCGAGATCGGAACGCACGCACACACGACGCAGAGATGCGGCCGCGTTCCAGGATCCATTGAGCGAAAGCGAACAACGGCCACATCAGCGGCTGGGAGGCCAACTTGGACAGAAGGTCCCAAGTTGGAAAGAGCAAAGTGCGACACGGCTCCTGCGTGCCCTCTCTCCGCTGGAGCCCGTTGTGGGGGTTTAATGCCGAGCAGCAGCAGCAGCCCCCGCGTCAAATAAGTGGCACGATCCACACGTACGGCCAAAAGAGACGGTGAAATTGTTTTCGCGAATTAGAAACTCTGTTTATATATATAAAAAAAGAAATGTAATCAGCCTAACGGGAGGCTTATTTCAAGCGAAAATTTTTTCCAGGACTTATTATCACAGCGGTTGTCATTTGTCAATTTTTTTAAATAAATAAAAACTAAGGGATTTGCTTTATCCCCGAAAGGAAATAACATTTAATCTATCGGCCAATGGGCCGTCCAGATTAGTGTATTCAGCAGCATTTGTTTAAGCAAGGAAATCTTGTCGACCTCACGACGACGGCTCATCGGCTAGGGAGAATAAATTAGTGACGTCAAAATCGGTCAAAGGTCATTCTAGTTGCAGTCCACGGGCCAGAGCTGAAATTCGTTTCAAGTTTCATTTATTAGATATAGCCCTGTGAGCCATGCGGCTCGTACCACCTTGGGTAGCACAACTCTAGCAAATGTGAGTGCATTATTTTATACCCCACTCAGTTTGTACATATGTATGTATGTTGAACTGCTTCGCACCGCACGTAGCCATCCATGCTAATCGGAGGTGCGGAGGAAGGATAACGAACTAAACACAGAGAAATTAAACGCTTAAAGAATAATTCACCGTTATTGGCCACGTAAAGAAATTGGAAGCCGCTAAAGTCACGCCACCCCAAGTGGCACCGACGAGTTTGACACCGATCTGGGCTCGTGGACTATTTACACAAGTACTACTACGACAGACACGTCAGTATCGGAAGACCAGCAGCAGCTACATTTGATCTATCGTCGATCTATTAACGCGATTAAACAAAGCGGAGACTTGTTCATTTTTAGAATACAGACATGTGATCGTGACTCACGTAGAATTCTCATGATGTTCTGGAAGGGCATGTGCTCATAACGAGTACAATCTGAAAACCAAATGATCTTAATCTGGGCTCACAAACATTGCAGACAGAGAGTCCACTGGTCTCACCGCCACAGCAGTTGTCAACCCCTCAACTTTCTTTCAGCGTCGTGCTGAACAATACGAGAGCAGGCTGGTCACTGTCCCTGCTTCCCTCTGCCGATGAACACTCGAGCTTTTCTCTGTCACACGCGTTGGGATCTACGGATGAAATGATCCTTGCAAATGTAAATTATTATTATTATATGGCCGGTGTTTCTGTAAGGCGTCTTGAGATGGGATTGCATGAGGATGCTATATACATCCGTATTGTACCATACCGAATACATAAATATCCACTTCCCACCATCCATGAACTGACGAATTAATATCCCGTGGAGTATGATGCTAAAGCCAACAGATAGCAGACACAGCCCGCTACAGATTATTCGTGTTTAATACGACCTCTTGCCAAGGCAGCATCCACACATTACTTTTAGAAAGTACCTTTTAACATCAACATAGCTCTTGCCATTGCAGGCAAAGTCGCCTGTAGCATCAAACCCACTTGCTGAGCCAATGAGCTATTGAAATGCATGACGTAATGTCCACTGTTGTCATTCCCCGTGGAAGCTGCTGCACCGATGTGGCGATTCCTGCGACACATCATGCCGTGACGACTGCCTCGGCGGCGACGGCCGCTAATGACCAGAGCATGTGCGCTTGCTCTTAATGACGCCACTTTTGACGATGTCACTTTTGACGATGCCACTTTTGATGATACCAATTTTGACAATCCTGCTCGTGATACTCGGCTCTCGTCGCTGTTCGGCTGCTGCCCATTGCATGCGAGTGTGGCCGTGGTGCTTTTCTTGAGAGGTAAGCAGCATTAACTTTTAATTACCGCGCGCACTGCCAGAACACATGCCACGTATCAAACACACTGTCAACGCGTGCCGCCCGGCAGAAAGCACAGCAGTGCAAAAACCAAACGATTACAAGTTAAACGAGCCGGGCGTTTGAACCTCATCGAACTTTTCCCGTGTTGCGTAAACACTTTAACGGAGAGCATTGTTCAAACTGGCACATGCTTGTGTTAATATTCCTAGTTTGTATGTTGTAATAAAGGTACCGTTAAGGGTGGCGTTAATACCAGGAGCATCTGTCAGCTTCAGAGATAGCATCTCATCAATTGTTATTTTGTGTCAAGCTTCAATATGAGAACCCCTTCTCGAGATCCAGCCATAAAAGCTGCGGAACATTAGGATGCATACCGGCTACATTTGCACTCAGTAGCATGTTTCCGTCTGATGCAGCAGTGCTGGAAGAGCAGTGAAGACTTTGCCACTTTATTCCTGCAGTCATTGTAGACTCTTTGGTGTGGCCATAGGAGGTTTGTTCAGGATTGTAACCGATGTAGTTAGGTGACAATAGCCAGCCACCTGGTGTCAAATAAAGCCCGCATTGTAGGCCTGCCCTTTCTTGGAAAGATTCTCTTACGAACTCTGGATTTTAGTGCTGCAAGCGTAAACAGTGCTCTAGGACACAAGCTGTAGCCGGTTTGTCCCCATGTACAGAGCTCACACGAAGCATCGTCACCGCTAAGCATTCTTGTGGACCGAGGAGAAAATTGTCCCAGAAATGTAACGAGGCAAAAAACGCGTGCGTGCTACGACATTGGCAAAGCATCCGAGAGAGGACACACGAACGTCTGGCCACAAAACGTGCAATTTCTGTGACGGTTTTCGAGTGCCCCCCTCCACCCATCCGTGAAACAACTTTGGTTTCAGGTAAAGGTCTCTGCTCTACAGTAGAAGTGACAACAGGCAGCAAACGGACCACTGCCTTGCAGACTCAAGGCTCGGTGGTGCCCTGATGAAAACTTATAAATGCCACGATACTTAAATTTCTTTTGCCACTTAATTGCATATGCGTAACATTCTGAATGTAAGACGAGAGCCGTGCCGTATTGTATCATATACCATATAATACCGTAAATATGTTGGAAATTAACATACAATTAAGTTTATGAATACAAGCACAAACTGGAATGCTGTATTGATGATTATAAAAACAGTTTTGAAAAGATTGACTTTGAGCAAAGTGCGCCGATGATGATGGCGTCACCGCCCCAGCGCCCGTGTTGTTGACACATTTGTGCAAACCACATGCCGACGTGTATTCATTCACCGCCGCGTATGAATACACCGCGGGTCCAATACACGGAGACATCCCATTTACACTTTAGAAAATAATGTCGCAAGCGCTGTAAGCAAGTACGCGCGAAGGCCAGCATGGCACTTGATGCGATCGGTATGGTCAGGATCGATCCCGGCCAATTTTGTCTCCCCAATGTGGTTGTTGGTCGAGAAGCGCAGCGGGAATTTATTTTGAGGCTGAGCAATCCCAAAGGAGATCGAGAGCAGACATGTGGACCGGTAACTTGCATCGTGCTCCACAGCCAGGAGTTCAACATGACGCGGTGTAGCGGCAAAGACTCCAACCCCGCTCGCTGGAGCACAGGATACAGACGCACAACGAGACCCGCAGAATCCGCACCGACTGTTCGCTTTGCACGTTAACGCGCTCGTTAAAGAGCGCGCTCGCAGAAACCGCGCGGACGTTGCCGCATTCCCAACATTCAGAATGAGCAATTAAGCGGCAGAAACCGGTAATATCTGACGGGCACCAGCCCAGCGCGGCTCATGCATTTATCAGGCGTAAATGCATGCGGCATCTCTGTGTCACCGGGCCCCCACCCCGAGCCTCGGTTTACCCACCTCTTGGGCTCAAATTTCCCACCAGACTTTGCGTCTTTGCGGGAGCCGCGCTTCGACTCCTTACGCTTGAGGTCTCCCTCGCCCTCCGGCGCGGGGGGAGTTGGAGACTTCTCCCCCTCGGCCGTCTCCGAGGCCTGGCCCTGGGGCGCTTGCAAAAGCTCAGCGCTTCCTTGGCTTTGTTTCCCCCCCCGCCGCCCATTCGCGCGTTCGGTGTCGGTGGACACGTTAGGGCGGGGAATTCGGTGGGTGGATAGGTTGTAGACGGGGCAGTTGACGGTTAAAACAGTGGGTTCGTTTGAAATTGAACAAGGTTTGGTTTTGGTCAAAAAGTGGAATTAGACAAATTAATGAACGGTTTGGGAAAGGGATTATAAACAACACCAACAACAACGACAATAGAGTTCAAGAGAAGACAGGAAAACACACTGCGTTAATAAATTAAAATACAAGGTGTAACAAACAATGTGCAAATAATTAAAGGAAGCATGCGATGACGACAAAAAGCTGTCGCGTGAACTACAAATTAGTCACGATAATAAATCAACACATTTGCCACTAAAACATTAATCTCATTTGTAATTGCAGCACAATTTTCACTCACAACACGTGGTAAAGCAAGCACCGGCTAAGCTACGTTGGAATTAATCAGAGAAAGCAACTTTACATTCACTGTTTTGCCTGCTACCAGGTAAGCCAACAGCACTGAAATAGCAAATAATTAGACGTGATGGTAAATTCATAAACATACGTAATCAATTATTATTTTCCACCTTCCCACACTGATAGGGTTTATTTTATTAAGAACTAATTAAATGCTATTTCAAACAGCTGTCCCAAGAAAACAAAAACAAGTCAAATTATAATTGGCGGAGCTATGCTCAATATATAAAAGTTTTACAAAGAACGGAACAAATACATTAACATCTTTTTAGCCAACTAAAATTTTCACAAGAACATTATTCGCGATGCGAGGTGAGCAATCCTGGCATAATCACTCGTCAAATATGAATGATCATACTTGAATAAAATTAAAGTGACTGATGTTTCCATTTTGTAACTTCCATAGTCTGCTGTCACGAATTCTCTTTTCACCAAAATATAATAAAAAATAATTTTATTTCAGACAATACAAAAACACCGTACAGAGGAAATGCACTGCAACAGCGTCTCGCGATGCGCTGGCACCATTCAACTGACAAATGAACGCTACCCACGGCTAATCATCAGACCAGCTGACGATGGCTGGCAATGCAAGAGCTAGCCATCGTTACATACGTGGAGTTAACTCTCAAAGACCCACACAGATAGATTCACACGTTAATTCCTGCACTGCCATCTCCTGGCCAACCTCACATTCTACGACAGCTGGTATTCCCTGACGGTCTCCTATCCAAGCGCAAACAAGGGTCAGCCCTGACGGGCTTGACACATTCGGGGTCATTAGGTCACAGGGAGGAGTATGATTCCCACCAGGGCTGGTTATAGGCCAAATATGAATTGATCGTAGGTTAAAGGTGAATTTGTCAAAGGGTAAGGGTCAATTGTTCGTAGGTCAAGAATGAATTGGTCGTAGGTCAAAGGTGAATTAGTCGAAGGCTAAGGGTGACCTGGTCACAGGCTAGTGCGGTGTGGCTCCGGGCAGTGTGATTGCAGGCCTAGGGTGACCCGGACCCTCTGGCCGAGGCCGCCTCGTTCACCTGTTGCCGTGGACGTGCGACGCGCAGAACGCGAAGCTGTAGTGGAGCAGCGTGGGGTCGATCATGGTGCCGCGCTCGGCACGCTCGTCCAGGTCGCTCAGGTAGCACAGGTGGCGGTGGCAGCCGCGGACGCCATAGCGAGCGCAGTACTCGTCCAGCACGAACACCTGGCCCGGACTGAACCAGCCCTGCGAGGAACACGGTGACGGGGCAATCGATACTGTACGTACGTCGAACTTCTTTCGCACCGCACGTAGCCAGCCGTGCCAATCGAAGGTACGCGACATGACAGCAACTAGACATCAAGCGCGCCGCCCCAGCCGTCCCCCTGTCCACGGCGACGGGACCTCCTCGGTCGGCTGCCTCACCAGGCAGGAGTAGGAGTCGTTGAGTCGGTGGTCGAGGGTGAGGCGCTGCATCATCTGGAAGAGCGAGCCGTGGTCGTAGGTGCACGGGTTGGCCGAGATGAACTCGTCCATGCCGTGCTTCTGGGCACGGTCCGCGTCTGCCAATCGGGGCAGCACACACGCGCACGTGACAACGGAGACGCACAGACAGAGAGAGAGAGAGAGGCGGACAGACGAGAGAGGGCACGCAGGCAAGCTTTGACGCGCGTCCGGCCGCGATGACCTGCCCGCCCGCCTGTCGGGTGCGGGCGAAGGAGGGAGGAGGCCTCGTCAATCCGTTCGGGGAACTCTTCGACGGAGTAAAATCGAGTCAAAGCGTCTCGGTGCGCCAACGAGCATAGGCAGTGTGGATTTCCAGGGCCGGTCCTGAGTGAGCGAGCGATGGAAATTTCAACATTTCTATGGCGTGGGCCATTTTGTCCAAAAGAATGACCACTTTTTACTTCCCTTAAACTGGTGCTTATTTTATGAACCCCACAGGAATTATGATGATGATGATGATGGTGGGCTGGGTTGATCCCCGCTTGGGATTTTGAACTCACAGCGTTTAAGGAATGGATTGAGGGTTCTGCCACAGCGCGATCCGTCCGCATATAATCACTGTTTTATTACAAATAATCAGAACCGTTCATTAACTGCTTAATGAAAGGTCCTGATTACACGCAGAGACGTAGATAGTCACACTCAGCAACTTTTGAAGTTTAATTGCACAGACGCTCTTGGTATTGTACCTTGAGCGTTGTTTGATTACAATGTCATTCTGTAACTGTATTTTATGCTTCACAATTGATGCTTGGATCAGACAGCGCAAGTAAAATGTGTGTTGTAAACCCTTCTCCGCCCGACACAACCAATGAATAAAGTTGTCACGTGAACAAACGTGCCAAATTTGTCGTGCTTCAGCAGCACTTGTATGAAGGAAATCGATTCATTTAACAATTGTGTACGGACGTTTCACTCGTAGTTACAACCAGCATCATCATCAGGCAAACTGGCACCTTGTAGCCCTGAAAGAGGACATGCTCACGCATGCTGTGGCTCCATCTCTATGTGGTCCACCAACTTTCAATCACATTTTCCTGAATGGGAGGCCTGTGGGCAGTTGCATAAAATAATCAGAACCGTCCGGTTCCCCCCCCCCACCCGAGTGAAATGTCCTCTTGATTTGCAGCACAAACTGAGGGGAAATTTTCGCTCAAGATATAACGCGTTGCCATCAGACAATCCACAGACCCGTAAGCACATTAATAAATCTTCTTGGTTCTAATAAACCCTAAGTCTCCCTGAAGATTCACGCAAAATTGATCAACACAATAGGCAGCCGCAATCTACCGCCGGACGAAGGTCTCCATCTTACGATACCACAACCCACCACGCTCCTCACTCCGGCACGCGAGCCGATCTCATCGCTCCATCTCCGCGGTGCTCGTCCTGCCTGCCGCTTCCTCTCCGGTGATTACCGAGGACAACCCACCCCCCGCCGCCCCCTCCCCCCCCGCCGCACCCTCCGCCCCCCCCTACCGCCCCCTCTCGTTTCTGTGAGAATTAAGGCCTCATGGACTGGAGAAGCCAAACACCAACTCCAGTCCTCCTGCGAGACTCAGGCGTGTGACCAATTCATTCAGATTGCATAGCAGCACAGCATCAGTGCACCCCGTGGAATGGATCACAGCTTGTATGCCTAAAACTATAATCTTCAGCGTAATCTGAAAAGAATCTGGTTATTATAGAAAAATATACACGCACGTATATCGAGAAACAAACGCTCGCGCTAACACAGAAAGATTTCCACGGTACATTAGAAACCAGGTATCTAACGATTCACTGATTAAATTGATTCTCGTGGCTCACACTACATGTGTTGAATAGCTATGGTGTCGGAATCGATTAATCCTGACATGTAGGTTTGTTTTCAAAGACAACGGTACGTTTCACAGTTGATATTTGGAATTGGCAACACAACGACCTGGCCAAATCTCCCACCATGCGACACAGCCAAACAAATTAAATGGTCATGTGTTCGAGCGTCTAAGCGCACCGATCGTCATTGTGTCAGCTCACACAGGGGAAGAAGAACAAATCTCACAACCAAATGTCGCAGCAATTAGATAAGACGTTTCACTTGCAACTGCGCCAAGCATCTTCAGGACAGAGTCCAAGAAGTGAGAATAACTGAGTCACCCGACCCAGTTTTCGCCAATGGTCGGATAGGAGACGACGCGGCAGGACAGATGGGACAGCAGGGGAAGAAACACGGTGCTCGCTAACGGCACTTGCCCCAACAGTCTGTTGAGGCTATACGGGGGATCTTTGTCTTTGCCGGTCTTGCTGCCTGATCGCGAGCCGTCATTGACTCACGCAGATTGCTCCCCAACGATGCGCTCTCCCAGCAGCGCGATGCGCGCGCACACACACGCACTCAACCTCCCAGCTGCAACAATCACGCGTGTGCACGCGTCCTTCTCCCCACCACCTCCGCTTGGGTGGAAGCACAAACGTCACAGCGTAACCTCCGAGCCTGCGGTCTGCCTACACACATCGCGGAATAAGACCATGACCTGACGCATGAAGCATTACACGATAAAGTGACTGTGAGATCATTCGAGTCTGCATGGCGCATGATCATGTTTACGAGCTCAAGGTTTTCTTGAAAGCGCGATAGGCAGTATTCATCTCGGTGGCCCCGAGCCACCGGTGGGAATTCCACATCCCTGTGGCAAGGGATGAGTCGACTCAAAGCGGTCATTAGTTTGTCTAATCCCAGAGGGATGCTGGGCCCAGCGAATTTCACCAAACTTTCGATTGGAAGTCAAGCCACATTGCCACCTAGCTGGCTTGACACTGTCGACATGCGTGTGTGTGAGATATACACACCTATATACACACCTATATACACACCTATATACCACACACAGCGGCAGTGTAAGCGGCTAGCATGCTGCGCTATCGAACCTGGCGACCCGAGTTCGATTCCCGCTCACGGCCAACACCAGTGACAATTATCTGAACCGGTCCTGGGCCTCCCCTAGGGTGACACGGCCTCAAATAAGTACCTGGTGTGATGTGTAAAAACATTACCACGAGGGAGACAAAGGCAGCCGGGCGTGGTGCTGGCCACCCATCCCCTCGTGTGCCGTTCCTGACTTCATAGGTGCTTGCTAACAGCACTTGCCCCAACAGTCTGATCAGGCTACACGGGGGATCTTTGTCTTTATACACCTAAATGTAAATACATGCATAGCCCTTTGTCAATACGCCGCTGGCTAACAGCCTCCCCAAGCCGTGTGGGCTGGGGGGGGCTCTCTGACCGTACTTCACCGCGCCGGTCAGTGCCGCTTGGTGAAGGCGGGGAGGATAGATGTTGAGCATAGAAGTATATCACAACAATGGGATTGCTGCCCTGCCCTCTGCTGCCCACTGCGTAGCTCCACATGGTGGTCACCCATCCAAGCGCACTGCAGGTGCGACCCTGCTTAGCTACTGGAGATCTGAACAACAACACAAATCTCAAGGAAAGTTTGTGGAGGAAAATAAAAGAAGAACCAATCTTGCAATTGGCTTTGGAATTTCAGTCCCATGTGGCCTACTGGCTTTTGGCATTTGGCACAGAGCTAATGTTTTGAGTGACAGACTGGCAAAAAAAGATTTCACATCGACAATCGGGAATGCAAATCAGTCCACTAGAATCATGATGCATAAATTCTAAAGATAAATATTTAAAATTACATAAGTTCACTTATTCCCATTTTGTTGGCATATGGAATTTACAAATGTGTCATCTGTACGCTGCAAGTATCGCACGGAATGGAATCACTGTGTTGAAGCTACCCATATTTATTTGGTGATAGTTGAAGTCCTGACTGGTTCGGTGAGTGGCCTTTCTTGAAATTTTTGTTTAAAGCTATTAAAGCTATCGTTCTTAAAACGGTCGACACGGCGGCGCATTTATGAAAGGAGAGAACCTAAATAAACAGCCTCACAGACGACTCACGACATCAAACAGACGATTAACAAGAAAACAACCAAGAAAACAAAACAACTTTGCAACTAAACAAATACGTAAGTCAAAAAAGACAGGGGGACAAATAAAAACGAATAAAATGAAATCACAAATTAACACATTGGGGGTCTGACACTGCACGGGAGTGCAATAGTATTAGTCAAGTGCTCGAGCCAAGGTGCATGGACTGTGACATGCAGGGACAACACGGGACGAGTAGACCGGACGCACGCACACACGGACGCACGCACACACGGACGCACGCACACACGGACGCACGCACACACGGACGCACGCACACACGGACGCACGCACACACGGACGCACGCACACACGGACGCACGCACACACGGACGCACGCACACACGGACGCACGCACACACGGACGCGTTAACGGCACCGAGTCACGATCCTCGCACAGCAGCGGAGTGGCGGTCGGGGCACAAGGCCGGTGGATGAGAGAGCCTGCATCTAACAGAGACCGGTACTGCGCCAGTAAAGCTGCCAAGGTTTGGCTTTGCAAGGCGGTAGTGCCGTGGGGGGTTGGGGGGGGTGAGGGCAGTGAGGGAGAGGAGACGGTGCGGGATTGAGGTGGAGGGGGGGGGGTGCGGTGTGGGTTGGGGGTGCGGGGCACCCCGTGTGAATTAAGATGGAATTAGTGCGGATGCATGCAGGGCTCCAGGCGATATTCCCTTCCTCGCGCCGCTCGGCGGGGCTGAAACAAGCCCTCGCTCGCTCAGTGCCGACCGTGCGCACCGCCCCCCCCCACCTCCTCCTCCCCCGCGGGGGGCGCCCGACACGCTGGGGGGGCCCCCCAGGGCGCTGGGGATCCGATCGCCCACCGGCTCATTCTGCCCCAGGTCCTAGCCACGTGCACTGAGACCCCAGCCAGTTATTCCGACTGCATCTCCCCTACGGCTTGACGGTGCCGCGTACCGAAGGGACGGCTGCCATTCCCGGGCAGTCTCGCCCATCTGATGACCGACCAAACTCAAACCTGCTTAGCTTCCAGATCCGGCACGCTGACTTGTGATTTGGTGTTAGGCTGCTGCTGCTGCTGCTCTCGTTGGATATATTGAAGCACCAGACGATTGGTGATCACGAATCGTTGCCATTTTGCTAATTTGATGATTGGTCGAGTTGCCCTGTAGTCTGCCGTACATCTACACACGAGAGCATAAGCCAAGCCAGCTGCCCCCGCCCATGATAGTGATGGCACCAGAAAATGTGTTGCTATCAAGAGGGCATCGCTGGGATCGTAAGTCTGCTCCTCTCTAACGAGTGGAATTAGCTTGCAACTACAGAGAATCGTCGGAATTTTTCCCATTTATAACTGTAATGCTGACGACCCCAATCGCTTTAAATGACCCGAGCTGCTACTTTAAACGAGTGGGAACGGGGGAGCACCGTTGCAGCGCAGCATCTGGTGGGGCTTGTTTCAACGAGGAAGCAAATACCGCCATCTGTAGGAGAAAAGATGCACGTGTCGGCCAATAATCCACGCGGGATTATCCCGTTGGCGCGGGCGTGAGCCCCGCCGTGAGACGACAACTTACCCTTCAGTCCCACTAGGGTGTTAGCAGAGCGAGAGGAGACAGAGCACACACGTCGTATAAACACAAACAAACAGCAACAACGCGCGCCGCCAAACGAGTCAGAAGGCTGCCGCCCGCGCCGCTCCCTTCCGCACCGCCTCGGACGGGCGACGACGGGCGACGGAGTGAGAAAACCCTCGGGCGAGCTTGCGGCGGCGACGGCTGTGGTGCTGGAAGAACCATCAGCCGCAGTCATCCCACACCACCCCACCACCCCCCGCGCGACACTCCTCCGCCACGCTCTCCTCTGAGACGTGCCTCGCCAACGCTGCGCTTTATTGATGCCGTCAATTTGCAGCACGGCGGAAGACTTTAATTGAGACAATTATCAGAGGAATTTCAAGTAAATTAACAGATTTGCGAAAGGCATGCTATCGTGGTGTCGCCTTCATCGCGTCCTGGCAACGTCCCGAGGCAATGAATGCCGCGTTGGGCGCTGGCATCGAGCGCGACGCGCGCGGACGGACGCGCACAAAGCTGTCACAGAGCAGGAGGCGCGTGTCGTGTGCGCCTCGTGTGTGTGAGTCCAGGCGGTGGGTTGCTGTTCACGACGACCTGGCTATGGGCAGCAGGACGCAGTTGTTCATAGCCACCACCACCACCCCCCCGTGTGTCTAGGACGGTCGGCCAAAGGAATTCTGCTCAGCCGTGACAATGGTTTTAAGACGAGACTCAAATAATATATTTTCCCTTCGGTTTAGTTTCTAAATTGTCTCTGTGCCGTCTGCGATTCTGTCTCAACTCTTCACTGGATGTCGAGCGTTACATGTTTTGTATTTATTGCTTTTTGTGTAGGTGACGTGTGTGTGATTGATATCTGTGTGTGTATGTGTCTGTGATGTGTATGTGACGTGTGTGTGTGTGATTGTTATCTGTTTGTAAGCAGGTCACTGGTAAAGAGTTGTTTAATGGCCACACATAAATGAAAGCTACAAACATTGTCAAATGTAGTAAACACGTCTGAACTCACACAAGATTGGGAAAATTAACATTCAACAATATGACAATTACTCGTGAGGTCCGCAAATTGAATCAAGGACCCTTGCAAGTGCTGCACGAACAACATTTAAACAAATAAATTGAACTAAAGTTCCATGTGAGGTGCAGGGTCTCATTGCAATGTACAGATATAATTGCAAAGGTATCTGGGTTCATGATGGGGCTGCGAGGGGTAGTCTGGAAGCTCCATGGGGACTAACCGAGGGTGGAGAAACTCGTTGGGTCGACAGAAGGAGAGCACAGGCTGTTGAAGTTAAGCGTATGGAGTCTACAGTCTGGACTTGGTGAAGTCCCTTCTGTGATATTGGAAGCGCGAGGGCTGTGATGGCATTGACCGCTGTTGCTTACGGCGGTCTCAAAGTCGACGGGGACGTTGCGCGAAGATTTTTGCGTTTAGACCTCAGAGCAACGACGTTAAAGATCAGAGTGTCGTTAAAGTGACGTCGTCTCGTCTTTGTGAAGTGTTTACGCGAGTTTACAAACACGTCGTATTTAGCACTTACAAAAATATATATATACATCTCAGAGAAAGTGGCAGGTATATTGTAACTTTGTGTAATACAAGGCTGTGTATGGATAATTAATTGTAAAAATTGTTACTACTGAATTGACATGAATTGTCGAACCATTTTAAAACATGTTTTAACCCAATAACTTTAAATAAAAGAAACTACAAATAGATAAAGTGGATTATGTTCTATAGAACTATTGAGGCTCTCAGTTATAACTCAAAGCTTAATGTAGATTATTAAGAGAAACTTTATTTTCATGTGTTTGGTGTTTAACTGTTTGGGCCATACACTGCTATGCATGGCATTGGTCTTAGCCAGTGATGTTTTACTCGTATTAAGTTAATTGTTACACACAATGTTATTCTTCTCTCCACACCGACGCTCCAATGCGCTGCACGGAGCTGGTAGAGATACTAGGCCTGCGTTTCCTCCACTGGGCAAACCAAACTTGTGCGTGTGATATTGTGAACAACTCTAGCCGTGACATTCGCCCACAGCGTTCATGGCTCGCAAGTGACGCAAGATATTCTCTCAACGAAATCCATCACGTGAGACGTCCATTTCCCTATGATTTACCTGTTATTTAATTCCTACCGCAAACTGTTGAAGAACCAAACCAAGAACGGAGCTGGGTCAAGCCAAAACATCGGTTACATTTTGTGACGTAAGAACAATTGGAATGCCACGTCGAGGCGAGGACATTGTGCGTACGTACGTACGAACGTCTTTCGCACCGTACGTAGCCAACCGTGCTAACCGAAGGTGCGTCACGGCCGCATTCCCGCGGGCCGCTGCGAGCGGAGGAAGGGCACGGGGAGTGTGGCAGTGGCGAGCTGCCGACGCGGCGATCGGGGCCACTCACAGAACTGGGAGATGGGGGCGTCCATCTGGGGGCCTCCGCCCTTGGCGTTGAGCTTCTGGATCTGCGTGGGCGCCACGGGCTTGTGCGACTGCCCCGTGGCGCGGTACATGGCCTGCACCCAGAGGATGCGGTCCTGCTCGTCGTCGCTCGCAAACGTCACCGTGTCGCCCTCCTTCACCGCGTTGAAGAAGGAGCGGCCCCCGTCCAGGCCTGAGGCAGCGTGGGTTGGGTGGGACGGGAGGTGGGATGGGAGAGAGCGCAAAGATATAGACGGCCTCCCTCTCTATGCTCGTAACTAAACTATGACACGATTTTTTATGTTACCAGGTTCAGGCCAACTGAGCTATGTAGCTCTTTTTCAGAAGCGACCTGGCCACAAATGATAGCTCAACGATGCAGACATTTATAGCGGCCAAATGCATGTTTCTAAATATGGACGGAAAAAACGGAGGATCCGAAGAAAAATCCACGCGGCCATGGGGAGAGAGACACGCAAACTCCAAATATACAGCAGCAGGCGTAATGGTAACGGCCACACCATCCACCTCGCGCATCGTGCCGGGCAATCGCCGCTAACGGCACTTGACCTGAGAGGCCGCGTGGGCGCTGCCACGGGGGGGACCTTTGTCTTTGTACCTGGCTGCGGCTCCGTGTAGTCCACCGTGTAGCCGTCGAGCTGCATCAGCTCCTGTGGCTCGGTCTTTTTCTCGCGGTAGCTGCACATGGCGAAGGTGTACTGGCTCACCTGCGGCACGGCGAGAGAACATTTCCTTCAGCAACGCGGGAAACCGGGGCCAATCCGGCGGTGGGCGCCGATCTATTTTTATGTTATCAGTAAGAGGCCCACTCAGCTACTATGCAGCTCTTTTACAGATGTGATAAATGACAGCTCAACGAAGTGGCTTATCACTGTGTAGAAATTTAGAGCATCAGCCAAATACATTCAAAGCGTGATGTTGATTCTAAATGTGGAGCGAAAAACCGGAGGACCCGGAGAAAAATCCACTCGACCACGGGGAGAACGTGCAAACTCCAAAAATACGGGCGTCAGTGTTGGGATTGAACCCACCACCTCCTTTATATCAGGCGAGGTAGTTAACATCTCGCCACCGTGACGGTGCTGTGGTGGTTGCTACACGGCAGTGGTAATGGGGAAATGCCCAAAGCAACGACGGTGCGCGGTGCTTTAGCCGACGTCGATAATATAATTAGACACGGGTATAGTCGACGAGAGAGGTCTCTTTAAAGGAATAACAATTATATTCTTGGTTCTTTCGGTAAAGTCACGTAGAAGGGAAATAATAAAATAATATAAATATAAAACAATAAAAATTCTCACGACGTTTCGACTGCTACACAAGCAATCATCATCAGGTGTGAAATTCACAGCAAGAAAATTTGAATAAAGTGACCACTTTTTTCAAACAAGCTAACATATTGGCTCGTTGGCTCGTTGAGCTTCCACCTGGTTATAAATAATAAACGACTGACTCATTTATCGGTTGATTGAGACCACATTGCCTGCTTTCAAAATTGAATGGCACAATTTGCTCAGGGAGTGAATACATAAAAAAACTATTTCAAGTAATGCTGCAACTTAATTCTGCATCCCACACTGCCCATAGGTGATTTTGTGCACAACATCACGGCACTGGCTAAACCGCCTACACTCCGCTGATGACACTAAGTGAAGTCAAATTCGGGTTCACGCTTGCCTAGTTTAAACAAACGCTACCGGAACCATCTCACGTAGGCGACCCACATAGTGACGGTTCGAATGATATTTACAAATGGCCACAACTAATAAAAGTCAGCAATGCGGTCTTCAAAAATGTCGCGCTCCGATGACTTCAAGGGCAGAAGCTTCGCCTGTGTCGTTCCCAAGCAGCGTGAAACGCCTCTTCTGCGACACTGATGGACTTCAACAAACGCCTCGTGAGACCGTCCTCCTGAAAGGGGCCATATGTACGCAACGTTGTTGTTGAAGACTACCCACACTTTTCCCCTCCACTAGTGACCTGGCAAATTACATAACCGCAGTATTACCGCTTCTACCGGTCGTTGAGTGGACCGAGTAAAATCGAGGTTCGGTGTTGATTTTCAGTAGGAGACTCAAAGCGGCCTGTGCATTGCGTTCCCATCGGAGGCAGTGTTGCAACTCATGCTGGCGCTCGCCCGCTTCGCAGAGACTTTGACTGAAGCGCAGCTCTTCGGACGACGGTCCAAGTCCACACAGGTGAACGTGGAGCCTTTCTTGCCTCACCTGGACCAAGACAAAGTACCTCTTCTTCCACCTCTTCCAAACGTTCTTGCCCAGAGCCCACAGGTATCTGGGAAGGCACAACAACGTGGACCGGTGACGGGAAACTCAAACTATAGTCGGTGGGCCACGCGAACGGCCCTCCCCCACCTCGGTGGGCCGCAGGCTTCACCCCGCGCTCACGGACTCGCCACGACCCCTCGCTTCGCCCGAGACCAGCGGTGGCCGACCGGTGTCTCCCGAGCCACCGCACCCGTAGGACGCACAATCTCAGTAGTAGCAAAGAATAATAAATGTCTCCCGTGCTGTGCCGAACACTGTCAATATACACACACGCACTTATATATACACTTGGCTTTTTGCAGAACTCAGGGGTACTTTTTGGATATTGCTCTGTTACAGGTTGCCCACCCTGCCATCGAGACACTGAGACCAGGCCGCCACCAGGGGCACCACGGGACACACGAGGCCAGTGGGCCACCGCCAGGGGCTCCACGGGACACGTGAGGCCAGTGGGCCACCGCCAGGAGCACAACGGGACACACGAGGCCAGTAGGCCACCACCAGGAGCTCCACGGGACGCACGAGGCCAGTGGGCCACCTCCAGGAGCACCACGGGACACGTGAGGCCAGTGGGCCACCGCCAGGAGCACAACGGGACACACGAGGCCAGTGGGCCACCACCAGGGGCACCACGGGACACGTGAGGCCAGTGGGCCACCACCAGGGGCACCACGGGACACGTGAGGCCAGTGGGCCACCACCAGGGGCACCACGGGACACACGAGGCCAGTGGGCCACCACCAGGGGCTCCACGGGACACGTGAGGCCAGTGGGCCACCTCCAGGAGTTCCACGGGACACATGAGGCCAGTGGGCCACCTCCAGGAGCTCCACGGGACACATGAGGCCAGTGGGCCACCTCCAGGGGCTCCACGGGACGCATGAGGCCAGCGGGCTGCAGGTTGCCCACTCCTGGCGTAGTCGACCTTGGCATTGTGTTTATCCATTACGATACACAGACACATGCGCGTGTGTGTGCGTAGTTGACTAATATTGGGCATTTGTCAAGGCAACATGGTCCGTGACACCAGTCAGATTCTTTTTCAAACACAGAATCACACCCAGAGGGCACGTTCACAAGCTATCCCGTCACCACAGAGCACGGCGCTTGCACAGCGGCGGTGACGGATCTGTCATGACCAGCAGAAACATTCATCCGCTCGAAAGGAACCTTTTACCCCGTACGCACACACATACATACAACAACACGGGCGCTGTTGCTATGTCCGCCCGTAAAAATAATCCACACAAAACAAACTGTATCACAGCAACTTTCAAACTACCTTCGTGCATAATAAGTAAGCGCAACTGCCAATTGGGTTTTTGCGGCGTATAAATGCGATCGCATCTCAAGAGGCTTCATAAAACACAGTGGTGAGCTTATTTATCTTGTTGAATTTTTCGTTTGATAGAGTGCTGTCTGCAACCATTACTGTCCACTCCATCTCTCTTACCTCTATAAAGAAGATGGGTAATTGCCTAAAACGTCACCTATTACCGCAGCGTAAGAGAGGCAGGTCAGTCATACACAGAGGAAAAGAGGGAGGCCTTTAGCCTGGACATGAATCAGGACTCGACACAGCACGGACGACTGAGAGACACGAGTTCCAGTTACTAAACGGACACGAGCGTTGTTCCAAGTAATAATGACATAACATACTAGTCATATAGCCAGCGGACCTTGGATATTATGCATGTATGTTGAACTTCTTTCGCACCGTACGTAGCCAACCGTGGTAATCTGAGTGTTTTGTCAGAACCATGTGCTTAAGCAGTCAAACTCTGGACTTTTTGGGTCTCATTAGCAGAGTTAGGCCTGTTCACAATTGCTGCTGGGTTGCCCGATGTTGCAGGAGAGGGAGCTCGATGTTCTTGCATGAGCTGACAATTGTGCGAGCTACCGACCTGTCAACTTACATACACGTCATCATACGAAGAAGAGATGAATAAATAAATATGTGTACAAATTAGTGTTCATATTTATGGACAAGTGATTGCACTATGCATCCACAATCACTCGCTTAGTTAAGCAAAGTCACAGTGTCTCTGATCAAATGAGACTTTTGGCAACACGCATATCCATTGTCAGCCTGAGTGGTGAAAACGTTACATTCATACGTCAGGGGCAAGTCTATCCACAGGACAACCACGCGTTGAACTCGGAACCTTCTGGTTGTGGGCCGGTCTCTGCCACAGAGCCACCTTGCCAGGCACCACAAACTGTCCCAATGTCCTTTTACGAAAACTGAAGCGAAATATACAAATTATTCCTTGTGATGCATGACTTAACATGGGCATAGTTGATTCTAAAAATATATCATCATCAGCACCATCTATGATATTTGCACTGGTGGATGAAGGCTTCCCCAAGCCATCACCATCCCTGTAAATATGTATTTATATATATAAATATATATAAAAAATATATTTACAAGTATATTCCATCAACAAGATGACAGCCCATCCTGCAAAACAACACCATTGGCTCTTTCGTATCCATTAGCAAGCAGACGGGACGGACACCTCAGCTACTGAATCCTCCTCTGGCTTGTGCGGCATAACTCAACACTTAAGACAAGTCTTCACAACGCATTACCCTCAACGGCACAAGTGGGGGGGACGGGGGGCGGGCGGTTGTGGTGGTAGTGGCTGTGGCATCAGCTGCGGACCGGCTGCTCCCTACAAGCGGGTAGAGGAGCGGCGGGAGGCGATCCGGCCACGGGGGGTGACGAGACGCGGGGCCGGGAGCTGCGGGCCGCACGGCCGCCCTTCGTCATGCGCAAACGAATCGGGTCTTTGCCCACGGGCGAGTTAGAGAGAGGGTCGGGGGGGGGGGAGATCGTTGGCGTATCCGCTGATCACTCTCGGCAAACGTTGTCACCGCCGCTCGGCGCGCACCGCCGGCGAGAGGCAATCTCGCGTGTCAGGCCCGATTTAGCGGCCTGGGCCTCCGCTTGTCCCCCAGCTGTCAGAGATGCGCCCAGGTGTAAAGAGCTCGCCCGCGTGAACTTTTCATTTCATTTGAAGGCCACCCTCGTGGAAAAGAAGTTAAGTTTGTGCGGGCGGTGAATTGTGCGGGCGGTGAATTGTTCGTAGAAATATTCGCTCTCTTTATGCAGTCTAAAAATAATAAAATTAGTTACTTGTAGGCCGCTGTAAAAGTTGGCAATTATTTAGTGTAAAGCCACGACATTTGCTTCGCAATTTACTTCGTTCGTATACGATGCATGCGGGGCCCGATGCACGAGGCTGTTACGGCCATTTGTGGCTAATGCCACAATCCGGCAAAACAAACTGGAGACGAAGCGGGCCCCCTGGCGCTCGGGGAACTGCTGGAGCGATTTTCAGCGCATTCGTGTAAGAGCGTGCACGTGTTTAATTTATTTTGTCTCAAAAGTTGTCGAGCTGTCTTTGTCAATTTAAACTCCTCGTGCCTCTATAGAATAATAATGCCAATGCAAGAACATTTTGCCAACGCCTCCATATCACAGGGTTTCAGCCCTGGGGCAGGCGTGTGAATAATATTGTCTGTCATTCCAAGGCCAGCCGAGGGTTACGACGGACGGCAGTTGAGGTGTCTGTAGCGATATATATGACAAGGTGTCAAGAATACTTTAAGTTTATTTTCAGCAAGGTAAGATACATGTCACGGCAAGTGGTGCTGCTGTGGTTGGCGCTACGAACCCGGCGATCCAAGTTCGATTCCTTGCACAGCTATCACACGAGTGATATCTGAACTGGGCCTGAACTCCCCCTTTCACCAACCTACACACTGACAAGTTTGGTGAAGTATGGTCAAACAACCTCTATGATCAGCACGACATGGGGAACGCGTTGTATGTACAGCTGGCTGACACCTGGATAGGGACCCACGTCCCCCAGCGGTGCTGGCTTTGTGCCAGCACCGCTTATTTGTACCTTCTATTAGAGGACTTAACACAATATGAACCATTCATATTTAACCTACTTCATTATATTGATGCACATATGCGCACAACGTAAATATCCCCATTTCGCCGCAGATACCGATGGGGCATTTACGTTAGAGAGCACCTATTAACGCTGCCACAGCAGACGTGCACAATCAAAGACAGACAAAGAATCCCCCCCCCCCATATAGCCTTAACAGACTGTTGGGGCAAGTGGTGTTGGATGAGATGGGAAGCATTCGTGGGTGATTTGATGGCAGGTGCTCAGACTGACCCGCAGTGCTTGAGGTTCTGGGGTTTGTCCATGCGCACGGCGAGTTTGATCTTCAGGTCCTGGTCGGAGCTGTTCTTGGGCACCACCATCTTGTGGAATTCGGCCGACTTGGTGCTCGTCGGGGTGGGGTGCAGGATGACCTGCAACAGGAAAACAAAGCGCTGAGCGAAGACTACACTGCTAAGACGACACGCTAAGACGACACGCTAAGACGTCACGCTAAGACGACACGCTAAGACGTCACGCTAAGACGTCACGTGAAGACGTCACGCGAAGACGACACGCTAAGACGTCACGCTAAGACGTCACGCTAAGACGACACGCTAAGACGACACGCTAAGACGACACGCTAAGACGACACGCTAAGACGTCATGCTAATACGACACGCAAAGAGCCAATCGGCAGGTCGCGTGTGGTGTGGTGTGGTGAAGCCGAAGAAACCTCTGGAGGGGCTCTCCCGAGCCCTCCTCTAGTGGAGGCCCTTCTGCCAGCTGTGACGCGAGCCAGCGATTGTCCATTGCGGGGCCACACCTTTACCTTTTACACGGGGAGTGGTGGCGCAGTTGTCAGCGCACGACACAAGCTATCGCTCGCCACTGATGCGGGCGGGCGGTGTCTGAACTTGTCGAGAGGAGTTGGAACTCCACCAACCCGCGCTGTCCAGCGTGACGAAGCAACGTGAACAAAAACAACTCCCGTGACCGACCGGGAGTGGGGAGTGAACCTTCGCCCAGCAGTGCATCATTCAAGGGGCCATTCACGTTCGTGTTGTGGACTGAATCGCTCACCTTGCCCAGTTCCTTGTCCTCCAGGGCCAGGACCCCCGTGCTCTCCGTGAAGAGCTTGATTTTTACGGCCGGCAGGGGATGCGTGGTCGTGAAGTCTCCCTGCGTGCCCCATCTGACAGAAGTCGGGCAAGACAAGCGAGCGGTGAGCGGGAGGACGTTGCGTGCGTGGGAAGCACTTGAAAGACGAACCGCGACAAAGCGAAACCTGATTTGAGTTTAGATTCTGGCTTTGCTGGAACTGTCGTATCGCTGGCCATGACAGGGCTACGCAGTTTGTTTTTTCCCTTCTAAATTCCTCCCAGCTGAAATCTTTCAATTGGCAGCACACAATATGTGTTGGCAACCCTTGGCCAATGGTGGACATTCCACATTCCCATGGAAGGGGACCAGCATGTTCATAAGACAACTGCTGTTGACCTTTCACAAAGCGGTTTGCCTGCTTAAACAAAAGATGCTGGAAAACACTGAACTATATTGATATAACTGAACTATATTGATATAACCTGTCAGGCTAACAACCCTTGAATGTTATTTTACCTTAACACGGTTAAAACAGACCCTTGCCTATTATTGTATTCGTTTATTGCCCACAATATGCCACGACTGCACATTTGAGTAACCTTCCTACAACGTAACTGCTGTCAGGGTTGACCTAAGCCACATTAACGTAATGTGCATCACAAAATATTACAATATTTTAAAAACACACATGTAGCAATTTTTATTTTACTTTGCGCAACATAATCATTGGCAGGTTTGACCGACACTCTATCAGGATGTGTCACCACTACCTAAACACAAAATAGCAGCGTCTGTGGATTTTCCAGCGACCAGTGGATGTTAGCATCGCCCCACACTGGTCACGTGGGGTTATTGCACGTTCGTGCGCTTTTCTTGAGTCTTGCGTGGTTTTCTTGAGCGGCTCTGCTGGGCTGCACGCGGGCCACGCTTTGTTAAATCCATCTTCACGCAGCGTCACTGCTCGACGTGCCCATGAACACGGCCAGCCCTCTTGTCAGTCCACCGCTACGCCAGTCTTGCATGGGGGGTCGTTTGAGCGCTCTGGTCAGTACGGCCCGGGGTTCAAGTTCAAGTTCATTTATTAGGTATAGCCCTGTGAGCCATTCTGCTCTTGAATCGGGTGCAACCGCAACAAACAAAAAACAAAACCATGAACAAGAAAAGATCTTAAAGTGACTATGTGCAAACAGAAAATCCAAGAAAAGACAGCAAAATATTGCAAAAAAAGTACCGTACACCAACACTGTGTGCAAAAATCCCAGTGGGATGCAAGTCAAACAACCAACAACAACCACAAGACAACTTAGATGAAAGCCATCAGTCTAACTCTGTACTACAACAAACAAACATGGCCAAACCGAAAAACTTTTCGAAAATCACCAAAATAAAGCCATAACAGCAACGAAACAGTGATCATAGGAACTGTGACCGAATTTTCACAATAAACGATGTAAACAACATGTACTACCAAACTCTGCAGCCATAGCTGGGAAGGCAAGGATCACAGACGTGGGGGCGCACAAGTACAGCGCAACAATAGATCGCGCTGCCCTGGCCTCTGCTGCCCACCACGTAGCCCCACAGTCTATAGCAACGCCTACACATTGACAGACAGACAAGACACGAACGAACAGATATATTGGATATAGAGATGGGCTAACATTCAGTCAGATATATGGATAAAGAAACTGTCAGGCAAATGGACGAACAAAAGACTAATCACGAATCAACAGACGGGTGATGAGACAGACTGAAACATGGGCAGAAAGAGAAAGAGGCATACAGACATGTGGACAGACAGACAGAAAGACAGACGTGATTATAGACAAGAATCGATAGGGATGGGTGAAAAAGACAATCGAATGATCTGACAGATATAAGAAAACTAGACAAATGTACATCAACAAGGATGGACCTTATAAACAAATGGGAAGTGGGAAATAGAGGACGCAAATGGAGAGACAGATGCCAAGACAGGCAGAGAGGCAGACGCATGGACAGACGGAAGGGGAGACGCGTGGGGAGGACAGGCTCATGGCTGCTCACTGTGGCTTGGAGGCCTCTGCCTGGTCCGTCTGCAGCTTCTCTCCACCCTCCACCTCCATGGTGCAGTAGACGATGCGGTTGGGAGCCAGCGACTTGAGTCCCATCACCTCCATGATCACGATCTGCGCGAGCGCGGAGCGATCGGCCCCCGGTGAGCGCGCACGCGAGAGCGCCGGGCAGCACGGACGAACGCGGTCGCAGGAGAGACGCTAGGATTGGAGGAGCTTAACCACAGGGACCCCGAATATTTCCGCTCTTCTCGACCAACGCGCGGGCACGAGGTTAACGCGTTCGGCGCGTTGCCGAGGGATACAGGCAAAGCGTGCCGTTAGCCGGCCGTGTCGCACGTGGCAAAGTGCAACCGCGTCGCTTTGGTCAAGATCAGCAGCACGGGGGAGACAAAGGTGGCCAGGCGTGTGTGCCCCCCCCCCCGCCCCCATCCGATTAGTCTGATGGAATATCCCAGCTCCTCTACAAGTGTGACTGGGACATTCAACCGTGCAGAGAGAGAGACAGAGAGAGCCCATCATCAGCGCAGTAGTTGGCGTCTCTCTGCACGGGCATCTTGGCTTGCGCCCCGCCCCCCTACCCCCCCACGCACCTCGAGGCTGAAGGCGAGCACCACGTCGGACTTGGACAGCTGGTTCTCGTTCTCCTCGCCCATGTCGATGAAGGACGAGTTCTGCGAGCGCCGCAGCTTCTGCAGCTTGAAGTCGGAGCCGCCCTTGGCCACGGGCATGCTCTCCAGGTTGGCCATGAGGAGGTTGACGGCCGCCTTCAGCTCCTCGATGTACATGCTCTCCATCTCCTTTTGGACAAACTGCGGGAAGCGCCGCTCCTTCGTGCCAGACACGTGGACAAAGACAAAGATCGCCCTGCTTAGCCTACGCAGGCTGTTGGGGCAAGTGCTGTTAGCGAGCACCCTATGAAGGCCAGCATAGCACACGAAGGGTTGGGTGGCCAACACCACGCCAGGCCGCCTTTGTCTCCCCAGTGACGATGTTTACACACCGCATCAGGTACTAATTTGAGGCTGAGTCAACCTAGGGGAGGCCCAGGACCGGTTCAGATAATCGTCAATGGTGTTGGCCGTGAAAGGGAATCGAACTCGGGTCACGAGGTTTTTAGCGCAGTGCGCGAACCAGTACACTCCCGCTCCCCACAAACATACACACACGTAATCTCACATACACGCACGTACACTCACGTACACGCACGTACACACACGTACACACACGTACACTCACGTACACGCACGTACACTCACGTACACACACGTACACTCACGTACACGCACGTACACTCACGTACACACACGTACACTCACGTACACACACGTACACTCACGTACACTCACGTACACGCACGTACACACACGTACACTCACGTACACACACGTACACTCACGTGCGGTGCGATCATTCCGGAGCACAGCCAGAGAGGGCCCCTGCGTGTGGATCCGGACCGGTAAACAGCGACAAGTTTGGGTGCAAACAGTGACGTCACCGGCGAGCGTCTGAGTGCCAATCCCAAGGACAGAAAACTCGGGGATTTAATCCCAACCAACGAAAGAAGAACGCTCGTCAGCATCGCATCGAATCTGCATGCCCCATGGCAGATCTGTCCAGGCGCAGCAGCAGCGAGGGAGGGTTGGTGGATCACACCAAGATGGGCGGTGACACTCCCTTCACGTGGGCATCAAGGAGCCATACCCTGGCTTGCCAGCAGAGAGCGATACAGCAAAGTGAGGATTAGTATTACCTGTCCTTTCTGCATGGGATCGAGTGTTACCCCCTCGCACGAGTGGGTTCTCTTCGTTGTGCTTCGGATTCCGCCAACATCTATAAACACTCGTTAATTGGCTGGGGGGGACAAACAAAAGTAATACATAGAGGACTGCAGAGCTTGGGTAATTGTTGGTCACCGGCTCACCGCCAAGGCTGCCTTGCCGCTTTTCTGCGATTTTGCGATGCATTCCTCAAGTACGACGCAATATAACAAAAACTAAACGTTACTATTATTGTTAAACTATGCAAAAAATAGCGTGCTGGTTCGGCTAAATTAGGCGCTGCACCTAACTCAGCCAAACAAGTGAAAATCAAATATTTAGCGAAAGAAATCAGTTCGTGAGGTCCCGTGCCGGCGCCTTCAACCACTTGATATTCCCGGCGCCTGCCAGCAGCGCACGAGTCCCGCCTGGCGTGCCAGCACCTCCACACGTGCACTGTGTCGGTGGCGCAGGCTGCAGCTGGAGGATGAATGATTGCCCCTCTGCACTGCTAAACCAGATTACACTTCAATTCCTCTCCCCCCCCCACTGCTGGGCACAAGCCAATTGCACGGCATCTCTCATTCTTTCCCATTATCCGAGCCAGCTGTCCTTCCTGGTAGATATTGCATGGGACTGCAATAGGCTGCGATATAAGATTCTTGATGTCGTGTTTATAAATAGATTGTTGCAATTACGGCAAACTCAAATATTTAGATGCCCCCCAACCATCACACCCTACACCCCCCAAGTCGTTCTAAGTTGTTAATAATAAAGCAGGGCGAGAGGCAAGGATCGAATGGGACAGACAGGTGGACTGTCTGATGGATGCTGCCCCTCGGTTCTGGCATAATGGCAACGGGCCTTGTGCTTTGGCTTCTGCCGTGGGCTGCACGGAGCCCCTGGGGCACTCGGGGTGTTTCATACGCCGCGGACACCTTTAGCCCCAAGCGGTGCGCGCAGGACTTTGTGAATGGGCTCGCACTGATTGCAAACACCTCGGTCGCAATAATCCAGCTGCAAGTACGTCGGCTGAAATGGGGCGCACGTTATTGAACCGCGCGATGGCCCACTCGGCGCTAGCGGTCGTGTATTTGGCAGTTTAGTGGCGACCGTTTTGCAATTCTACGGTACAATGCCCCACTTTGGTAAATCCCCATGAAGAATTAAAGCTGCGATTCCGGCCGAGCCAGACTGGCTGCGTGCTGATTACACTGACCTGGCGTATATGCCAACATCCACACAGTCGTCACCCTCCCCTCCCTGCCATAGGAAAGTGGAATTTCGAACACAGATCTTCTTGGTTCTTTCGGTAAAGTCACGTAGAAGGGTAGTAATAAAATAATAAAAATAAAACATAATAATATAATAAAATAATATAATATAAAAACATTTTTTATTACTACCCTTCTACGTGACTTTACCGAGAGAACCAAGAAGATGAATCCCTACAGTCACGAAAGCTTTAAATCGAATTTCGAACACTGACTGAAGGCTGTGAATGGAGATGCGTGCGACGCCGATGCTTGACGAATCACCGATATTCGTCAGCTATGGGGCCCTGGGCTGTGAAGCAGTCAAATGAAAGGAACGGCAGAGAACTAAACTAAACTAGCTTTTTTATTTGACCAGGTAAGGCCCTACTGAGCTATGTAACTCTTTTTCAAAAGCGACCTGGCCGAAAATACTAGCTCAGCGATGTGGCTTATCATGATGAGGAAATGTACAGCATCAGCCAAATACTATGAACGAGTGATGTTGATTCTAAATGTGGAGGGAAAAACCGGAGGAACCTAATAAAAGTCCACGCGACCACGGGGGGGGGGGGGGGGTTGAGAGAGAGATGTACAAACTCCAAATGAATGTCTGTTGAAGGCGAACGATACGGCAGTCTATCCCTCTCGACGAGCTCTACACGATGCGCTAATCAAAGTTTCTAAGTTGTGTTTCTTCTGCGCATTCGTCCTCGCCGCTGCGCTTGGACGACACGACAAGAGAACGATCCGCGCCAGGCGGGTCGCAGCGTTGATGTGCGCGGTGGGACGGAGTCGCCAAAAATAAATACGTTAATTAATTACGATTAATACGTTTATTCGGGACCCCGGGGTCCTGCCATAAGGTTCAAATATACAACGGGCGTCAGGGTCGGCATCGAACCCAGGCGAGGTAGTTAACGTCTCACCGCCGAGTTGCCACTTGTGCCCCACCGTTGGGAGATGTTCAATATTCACGCCGTGCGGCGCTTGTGGTATGCGCAGTGGTGCACTGTATGCTTCTCGCACTCGCAACGAAATAATTCACAGAGAGAGAAGATAAAATAACAAAGAAACAAATCCACCACCAAGGACACAGAGAGGAGGGCAGGCAGCCAGGGTTATTGTAGACGTGTTGTTATCATCGTTGGAAGTTGACCCTTCCGGTGAAGTTTCTTTGTTGAGTCCCACACAAAGACACCACCTGGCCTTGACTCTTCCCTTATCAGCCATCGCCACGTCAACCCATTACCGTGATTTTAGAGAGATCCTGAAAGGCAGGGAGGAGTGTCGGTGCAGTGGGGTTATAGCATTGCCCTGGGAGCCCGGCAAACTGATTTCCATCCCCGGCCACGGCTGACGTTCAGTCGTGAGCGATGTCACAATCGGCCTTTGCGACGCACCCAATCCCAACCCACCCAACCTTTACCGGCCTGCGTGGTGAAGTATGGTCAAACAACCCCCATGGCCGACACGCGGAGGCGTTGACAAACGGTTGTGGATTTTATTATCAGCTACTACCAAAAAGTCCCGCCCCGCCTGAAGCGATTTTAATGATTAGTGCTGGCCAGGGGTTTGTTGAAAGCTGGACATTATTATTATTATTTTCAGCGCGTGGGGCATTGCATCTAACGGCGTGTTTATCACGGTCAAACCCGCAGTGTCCTCGTTTCACCACAGAGCCGGAGCACCAAGGGATGGATGGATCGATCTTGATTTATCCTTACGGATTTCTTGGCCTGAACATTAATATAAAGTGTAACTACAAAATACAAATACATATGCACACACACATGCTCATAAGCAATATCACTAACAATGACTGGATGTGACAGTGTCCTTAACAAGCATATGACTAGTTGCATTTATGTTTTCACTGAGTTATGCTTTCGCTCAATAAGTGGTTAGCAAGGAGACATGAGGGTAACGAATATGTAGCGCCGATCAATGCCAGCGGCCATGGGGATGTTTGCCAACATTGTAACGTGTAATTCTTCAGGGTGGAGATTACATTATTTTTAAAGATTCTAATAGTTCATTTAAATGACTGGTGCTGCTGTGAAGTTTCACTTACAATTCGTAGGCTCTTAATCGAGAGTTAACGCACTGCACTCGAAACTCAGTGGCTCTCACGCACCGCGAAGTGAACCCAAGTGACCCTCGTTCATTTCCTGTCCGCAGCTGACATGAGTGGTGGTGGTGAGTGATATCTGAACCACGGTCACGGGCCTTCCGACTACATCAACCCGCACTGACCAGCGTGGTGAAGTATGGTCAAATGACCGCCATGACCTGACACGGCATAGGGGGGCCTTCATCCAGCAGCGGATTGGCAAAGGTGGCTGTAAAAATGCCATCTGTAAAGTCGTGCAATAGCTCAAGGAATGTTCTTTACCCAGGAAAACTTTTTATGAGTCTCAAGTCTGCTTTTTAGGAAGGTCCTGCGCTGACGTGTTTGGCCAATTGACAATTGCTTGGCACGTGAAAACAAACTCCGCACAGATAGACTCAAGAATCCAACTTAAAGAATCCGTTCAGCATTATCATCAGCGATGGTCAATCCGCTGCTGGATGAAGGAGCTCCCCAAACCGTCACCGTTTTTACGGCCCTGCGAAGTGGAACATCCAAATAGCACCTGCACACCACCTGGTTTCATCGCTGGTTCTCCACGGCGGATGTCCTATCGGGCGCGCTCCCTCCTTTTGCTGCCACTCCGTCGCCAGTCTCGACCGCCGGCCATCGTCCCTTCCGAAGCCCACTAACACTTGCTAACAGGCGGTGCGACGTCTCCATTCCCGCAGTCTCCGTCCCTAGTG